ATTATCACTGTGAATAATATTAAAAAAAAAAAAAAAAAAAAAACGAACAATAAATAATAACAAATAATCAAAGAGTTCGGATTATTCTCGAGCAAATTTTGGTTGAAAATAACATGTTTAAATAAATCGTTCGTCAATAACTGACGAGTATGAACGATAAACAACAATAGGATGATTTTATTTTTGAAGCTGTATTAAATTTTAATAATTGTGTGCCGCGACGGAGTAATATAATAATAATAATATATTCTGAATCGTTTGACCGCGTACGCGAAGATTCGGTAGCCGACACGCATTTTGTCGAGGACGTTACTGTATAGAGTACATAACATGTATAATACCTAATCGAGACCTAGCTAGGCCACGGGAATAGTTATAATTTGTATTTCGACGGATGAGCAGTTTAAACATAATATCGTGGATTAGTCTGTAGGCTCCTTGGGTAGAATACAATAACAGTCGCCTGAATCATCCAGACCTTATTATGATGTTATGTACAAATAACTTTGTACAGAATATCAATGAACCGTTTACAGTGCACTAATGTAATAAATTGCGCTCGTATTTTTTTTTTTTTTTTTTTTTCAGAAGTTTGTCTCCTACGCGTTCCTCCTGGGTCGCCGAATCGTAGACAAACTACAATTATTTTGGCCGCGGGCCGGCGGGCCACCAGGCTAAAGCCACCGGAATTTAAATTTCGGGCCGCTAGCCGCTAAAAAGAAAATCTTTAAATCGTGATATTCGTAATATACCTATTAGTTGATAAACAATGCTGGGCGTATTGCTTGGCGGGACGTGAATATACCCGCCACCCACCCGCACCCGGGTCAAATATGCGCGCATATTGCATAACGATTAAGAGCGCGTGACCAGTCGCCGTGTACGAGAATAACAACAATAGTTTTTATCAATAATATACATTTAAACAAATTGTTTTCCGCCGGTGTTAACAGCAACACTGCCGTTCTAAGGAAAAACGCCGTATATCGGGGGGAAAAAAAAATATGAGATTATACAAGAAAAACGTGTAAAATTATAGTACTAAACGTAATACAGTTTAATCTCATTTTCTTTTTTCGATTTACGGCATTTTTTCTCAGGACGGCAGAGCAGCCCTGCTATCTGTCGACAATCAATGATAAATGATGATAATCCATTAATTATGATATAAACCGAATATAAACGTTAGCGTGACAGGACCGTGGGCATTGTACTCGTATACACGTTAGCATCGTTCGTCGATTATGAGGTTTTTTAAATTTTAATCGTTTCGTTAAAATTTTTACTATTTTAGATTCTGAACGGAGCGAGGGCTTGTATTGGTTTTACAATGATGTGACATTTACGAAATGCGTATTATTTTTAAATCGTAAATATTACGGTCTTTCAAAACATGTATAATCGTACTCCACTCAAAATCATTTTTCGTTAGTAATGATTCATCGGCACGTACTGATTAAATCTTCCTTTTACCTTCCCAACTTTTCACCTACATCAGTGACTCACCTATTGTGCGAGTATGTCCGTTTTTTTTTTTAAAATTGTAATGTAACACGTAAGTAGACCTATTTGACGAGTAAAATGAAAAAAAATAATTGTAAAAAGTGATGCTGAAAAGGCACGAATAAAACGTTCTGAAATTTCTAAAATGATCTGTAAAAGATTCAAAACAACGAACACTATTCGGTTTTACTATAATGCCTACTATTAATCTAATGGTAAATTGAAATTGTGCTTTAAGAAAAATAGTATATGCACAAAAATATATTCAAACTTCAAGAATGTTTAACCATATTAACTATGTGTTAGGAAAATCAAATTTTTAATAAACTCGGGTTAGAGGTAACTTAGAGTACTATGTAAATTAAAACAATACATTTAATGAAATACATATTGAAGTACTCTCCTTGGTTTTTGTCTAATTATTAGATATACATATGGTATGTCGTAAGTTTATTAATTTTTTTACAATGTAAGTTTTTGGTTTTTTTTTTTTTTTTTTTTTAATATTAATTATTTATGATAATTTGTAGCGAATCACTCAAGGTATACAAGTGCCTAAACCAGCTGTTTCAAAATATTCACATTCCATATTCTAAGAAAATATCACCCGAAAAACACAAATCCAGGTAATTTTTTCATAATTTGTATGGTGCCAAGTACAATAGGCTACGGACAATGCACCTGACTCGGTGTCGATATTTCGTACATCGCCCTTTCTGATGCTTTGTGTACATCTTCATTTTGAGTGTAGTGTCCTTACAAGCAGTTTACGTGCAAGAAAGATGTATACTAATTTTTTAGAAATATTTTTAATTACCTAGTAATAAAAAAATAACCTTAAACTTAAAATAGATATATAGTTTCGATGCAATTTTTCCATATTAATGTGCGTTGTGGTTTGTAAAGCTTTCATTGATAAGAAAAGTGGCTAACTGTTCATAAACTTATTTTTTTGTAATATGAACGTGTAAATATGCTGATTTTACAAACATCATATTAAGTATATTTGTCGATTTTCTTAACAAACAATAATTTTATTTAGGTATTTAAAAATATTCTCTGTAACGAGTATAAACAATATTAATATTGTTTTACGTCTATTTTCCATACATCAAAGCCATTATAACTAAGAAATTATTAATCGGACGTTTTGATAAACTGATGAATATCACAAATACATTTTGCAAATATTGCTAAAACAAGATAGTCATATCTTTGGTGGCTTTGGTGGCTTTATTAAATACGTACGTTCCGCTAGCAATATTGTTGCATTGTTAAATGAATCTTTCAGTAAGTACTTGCATGTTCATAATAACGTTAATTTTATTGTATTTTTAGTGGTTATTATTATTTTAAGTAAACTGTATGTATCTAAATGTACAAAATGCATGAAAAATGGACTATTAAAACTTATAAAATCGAATTCCAAATACGATTGACAATAAATTTAAAATATTATACATCCTTAAACTACATAATTCATATTGTAAATTAAAATACCTATCTAAATTATACATTTGTTTTATTCAAAATAATTTTTTCTTTATGAAACATATTTTATTCTTTTTAATAATCTGGTCACCCTAGTTACGCATAGAAAATTCAACACAAACATTCATAATATATTTTTGGTTCAGTTTTTCCGAAATATAGTTAATGTTTAAATTGGTTTTGAAAATTCTGTTTTAGACGTTATAATAACGTTAAAAGTCACACAAAACTATTGGGATTTGGAAACGTAATCGAACAAAAAACGATAAGAGAAAAAAATAAATATCACAACAAAACAAAACTAAACGGAATATAATAAATATCAAAACAAAATACATAACGGTATAATTTTTTTAGTTAATAGTTTTGAACAAATATTTTGTCTGTACTATCTTTCTTAATGGTGTAATGTGTATTTGAATAATTCCCATCACTAATTTGTCTATACATTATTGGTATAGGTAATCACGAAGTGTACTTTATTTTTCATCAATCACCAGAAATCTTCTACCAGAAATCTTGTTTCGATTTTCAAATGTAGCATCTTTTCTGTAAGCAAATTTTATCTAGTTGGTACATTGAGGATGTCATTTCACATAATATTTATATTATACGTCTTTTCTAGACGTGGTCAAATTTTCAACATATTTTGACTATTGTTAAGCTATTCATAAGGCTTGAGCATTTGACATTTTTAACGTGAATTTCACCATATTTTAAACCATATTTAATCAAACCACTCAAAATTGTATGTTGTTAGCAATGATTGATTATTGCGTATGAACGTTGATCACCACTCTCCCTTCTCCCAAGTTGAATTTTGTTTGTAACACCATCTGTTCCAAATTTTAAAGCTCTAGCTCAATTAGAAATACTTTAAGTCTGGTATTCTGTGGATGTTAATTTTTCTTCTCCCTCTTCTAAATTGGATTTTCATAGATTTCTGATTGTTCTCATTTTTCATAAAGCTTCATAATTTTTAATAATCCCCTACAAAGTTAAAAAGCCGAAATCGATATGTGTGCCCGAGCAACATCGGGTATGCAAAACAATGTACGCGTTGAGGGTTTCAGTAAGTAGGCAACAGAATTCATACTGAATGTGCACGAAAAAAATCACAGACTAAATTACACATTTTTATTCCATTAAGAGAATGGGCTGAGATTTATTTCTATATAGATTTTTTTTTTCGCGTATTTTAATAGTAAAACCTGAAATTTGTTATATATTTATACATTAATGGATTAATGTATTATTTTATAGCAGTATATTATAATTTATTGAGTTAAAATTTGATATTAAATCTCTTTAGAAAAAAAAAATACTACATTACACTCAATTGTTTTTTTTTTTTACCACTAAGTAGGTACGATTTATAATAAACCTACTGTTAATTTTTCAAAAATTTCTGTTTGATCAAACAGTTTTGTCCATAGAGTACCTACCTAATACAAATAACGTAAAACCTAGCAAAATTAAAATGTCTAAATAGTTTAAAAATGGCGCAAATATTTTGACAATTTTATCACGTCTAGTAAATGCAAATATACCTTTTGTGTTAATATTTCAAGCCCTTGTTAATATTTTTAATTGAAAACATAATAAAAGCATTATGTTCGTAAATTTTCCCGTTTTTTCTAAGTTTTTTTTTCGGTTTTTCTCAATTATTATTAAAAAACCAACAAAAAAAAAAAAAAAACCCCTTTCTTACTCACCAACTAGTATAAAAATCTAACATAAAAAGTCTCTTCTCAGAAAAGTGTGGGAAAAAATGTCTGCCTGTCGGTGCCTGCCAAAACAATAAAAAAATAATACACCATTTTATTCGAAATCTAATAAAATGGCTATTAAAATACAGTAACACGTTGATCGTGATAGATACGCGGAATCCACGGTGATACTAAACGCGAACAAACTTTCTAAAAACATTTCAGATTGAGATTTCAGAGTCGATTATCTTATCGTTCAGTATGTTCAATTTCGGCCGTTCGTTGTTCTGCCGGCCAACGTTCGCGCGCACAGTGAGAAAAATGTGTCCCGCCGCGGCATATTCCAAATCGAATAAGTCGCCGACGTCGCTGCCGTCGCCGCCGCCGCCAACGTCGCCCAGCTACGTTGAAGCTTTATATACAAGTTGGTTGGATGATCCTAATTCGGTGAACGCGTCGTGGAACGAGTTCTTTAAGAACTCCGACGCGATGGAAGATAAGGTCCCGGCGCGGAATATCGGTTCCGCCGCCGCCACCGCCGCCACCGCCGCCGTTCCCAAGAACCGGTCGACCGACAACCAACCCATCTTATTGTCGGTAATCGGGGCGTACGTAAGCCGCGGACATTTCGCCGCTATGCTCGACCCTCTGGGCAGATCCAAAGTGTTTACCGACCCTAAATACCGGATCGAAGCGCTGTACGGGGGCCGCGCGTCTCCGATTAGTTCGGCCGATTTGAACCAGACGTTTCCGTTACCTCCGGCAACGTCGATCGGCGGCGATAACCGCGACGGCGCCTTGCCGCTACGGGAAATCGTCGAGCGCCTGGAACGGATCTATTGCCGTTCGGTGGGCGTGGAGTACGCGTTCATCGACTCCGTCGAACAGAACCAGTGGATCAAAGAACGCGTAGAAATGCCGGGCGAAATTTCTGCCCTAAACAACATGGAAAAACGACGATTATTGACCAGTCTCGCAAAGTCTACGGGATTCGAATCGTACCTGGCTCGAAAATGGTCGAGCGAAAAGCGATTCGGCCTGGAGGGTTGTGAGGTACTCATACCGGCTTTAAACGAAATTCTAGACGAGTCGTCGTACTACGGCGTGGACACCGTGTTTCTCGGCATGCCCCACCGCGGTCGACTCAACGTTCTAGCAAACGTGTGCCGTAAGCCGTTGCGTACCATATTTGCGCAGTTTCACGGTCTGAAAGCCGCGGACCACGGATCCGGAGATGTGAAATACCACCTCGGGGCTCACGTCAAACAGACGAACGAGCGCACCGGCAAGCCGTTGACCGTGGCCCTGGTAGCCAACCCTTCGCACTTGGAAGCCGTCGACCCCGTAGTGCTCGGGAAAACGCGGGCCGAACAGTTTTACCGCGGCGATTCGAACGGCGATAAAGTCATGTCTATACTGCTGCACGGCGATTCGTCCATTTCGGGGCAAGGCGTCGTCTACGAGACGTTCAACATGTCCGGTCTGCCCGATTACACGGCTCACGGTACCGTTCACGTTGTCGTTAACAACCAGGTGGGTTTTACCGCCGAACCCAAAATTTCGCGAACGTCGAATTATTGCACGGACGTCGCCAAAGTAATAGGCGCACCGGTTTTTCACGTCAACGCCGACGATCCCGAGGCGGTGATTCGCGTATGCAAAATTGCAGCGAAATGGCGGAAAACGTTCAAGAAAGACGTCGTTATCGACCTGGTATGCTACCGTAGAAACGGACACAACGAGGGCGACGAACCCATGTTCACACAGCCATTAATGTACAAAAAGATTCGTAGTATCATGCCCGTGTTCGAAAAGTTCAAAGATAAGCTCGTCGTCGAAAACGTGGTCACTAGCGACGAAGCCAAAAAAGAATCGGACGAATACGATCGATTATGCGAAGAAGAATTTTCCGCTTCGCTAAAAGAAACGCATGTGAAATACGGAGATTGGTTGGATTCGCCGTGGCCGGGATTTTTCAAGGAGACGACTAATTTGAACGTCCCCAAAACCGGGGTTACAGAAGACATACTTCTACACGTCGGCAACGTGTTCTCGTCGCTACCGTCCGCGGCGGGTGATCAAAAGTTCGTTGTGCACAAAGGCATCGATCGAATTTTCAAAGGCCGTCAGAAAATGCTCGCGGACCGCGTGGTCGATTGGGCTCTCGCAGAAGCGATGGCGTTCGGTTCGTTATTGAAAGACGGTACTCACGTTCGTTTGAGCGGTCAAGACTCCGAGAGAGGAACGTTTTCGCATCGCCATCATGTACTTCACGATCAATTGGACGGCAAAACCTATAGACCGCTGGCCAATCTGTATCCGAAACAAGCGGACTATACGGTGTGTAACAGTTTCTTGTCGGAATATGCGGTGATGGGTTTCGAACTGGGTTATTCCATTACGAACCCGAACGCTCTGGTGTGTTGGGAAGCCCAGTTCGGCGATTTCAACAACACTGCCCAGTGTATAATCGACCAGTTCATTAGTTCCGGCGAGTCCAAATGGATGCGACAGTCCGGATTGGTGCTGTTGTTGCCTCACTCTTACGAAGGAATGGGACCGGAACATTCATCAGCGAGACTCGAGCGGTTCTTGCAAATGTGTTCGGAAGACGCGGACGTTTTGCCCGAAAAAAACGAACATTCCGTCGTTAAACAGCTACAGGACACCAACTGGATTATAGCGAACTGTTCGACACCGGCCAACTACTTTCACATATTGCGCCGGCAATTAGCGTTACCGTTCCGGAAACCGTTGGTCATCATGAGCCCGAAGTCGTTGTTACGCCATCCCGACGCCAAGTCCGGCCTAGACGAGATGACTTCGGACACGGGATTTTTGCGCGTCATCCCGGACAACGGCCCTGCGGCCAGTGACCCGTCCGGCGTCAAGCGCCTAATATTTTGTTCGGGGAAAGTGTACTACGATCTGATCAAAGCGCGGGAAGAACGGAATTTGTCGGGCACCGTGGCCGTGTGTCGCGTAGAACAGATATCGCCGTTCCCGTTCGATCTGATCGGGGAGGAGTGCGACAAATACCAAAACGCTGACATCATGTGGACTCAAGAGGAGCCCAAAAACAACGGCGCGTGGACCTATGTGCAGCCAAGGTTCTATACCGCCCTGAAAGGCGCAAAGACGATATCTTACGCCGGTAGACCGGCCGCCGCGTCGCCCGCGACTGGTAACAAAGTGCAGCACGCGGCAGAAAACCACAACATTCTTATCAAATCGTTCGGCGGAATTTAGGTCATTTTTTGATTTTCGAAACGGTGTTTAAAATAAAAACGATTATCCGGGAAAGAGAATACGATTTTTTCATGATTTTAAATAAGTACCTACCACGTTTTCTAGCACAAATATGGCTCCAATTGAAAAAACAACAAAAAACAATCTTTTTTTTGGTGAATTATTAATCTTATTTTTAATTATACGGGTCGTTTTTTGTTGTTCGAATTTTTAGTTTTCATAATAATCGGGAAAAAACGTAGGAAGGTCAGTTTAAAAAAAATTATGGTACTTCAAATTGTGTATTACCGAACTGTGCTCGGGATCATCTATCGTTAGCAATGGTTTATCATTGTTTACAGGTATTCATTAAATTCCCGTTTGTAATATTTTATTTATTAATTGTAGAGTTTTAAATCCTTTATATTTTTGTAAAACCAGAGATATTTTGTTTTTAACTTTATCTGCGACTTTTCCATTACACTCAAGAAGTCGATTCCTAGCATTTTTTTATAATCTATAGACTTTCATAAAGTCTTTCAAACTATTCAATCTTTTATCGCATACCTATTTTACCATAGAATCGTATTTAAAAAAATAAAATTTATGTATGATAAAAAATCAAGTTTTATATTTTAATCAGCAGAACTAGAATTAAATACGAAATATTAATTTTAAATTATAAATATTAATTACGAAATATACTGTGAAACATGCATTTTTCGCGTTCTTATAATCAATATATGCAAAATAAAAGCACCGCCACTTATCTCATCATGAGGTAATTCGTGGAAATTACTGACAAAATCAATAATCAGATGTCGCAAAAAAATTATGCTGTTGCATATAAATCCTAGCCCTGCTAATAAGTAATTTAAATCGAAAAATAATGAATTTTATCAAACACTTCAATTTATAATACCTAAAGAATATGATGTTAATATATCGACACCCCTAAAGTTGCCCACCCATTTTGACGTAGCTACACAAAATCTTCATCAATAGTTTGCGAATGAATGCAGAAATTTGCGAGTCCACTCTCAACATTTGCGAGTCTTATCTATTATTAGATCAAGGTTTCAATAAACTTAATATCTCCGTAATTTCGCAATAAACTATCATTTATCCATTTAATAAAACGCTTCGATACAAATAATTTTTAAACAAATTATGTAGAAATTTAATCAACGAAATGACGAAAAGTTAGTGTAGTATTAGTATTAATATCATTTTAGATATGAAATAATTTAACACTTTTGTGTTAAAGCCTCAACAATCGAGTAAAGGGAGAAATATACAGGTAGTTAGTGAAAGATGTTGAAATACGAAAAGTGGCAGTGTTTCTGGTTTGATTAATTTCCTATTTATTCAAGTAGGGACTCTGGAGTTAATTTCTACAGACAAACTAGGGAAATTAATAGAGTTAAATAGTTAAGAAAGAAATTTGGTTTTTAGTCACTAATTTGTGACTAGATATACCCAGCATTTGATTTACTGGCGTGTAGTCATACAAATTGTACTATACAAAATCAAAAGCTTTGAAGAAGTCAGTATATATGTCATCGATGTAAGTTTTTCCAGTGGTCTTATTTGGAAGTTATTGGTTTGATTTAATGCTATCCATATTCGATGTTGTTTACACTAAATGGATGATATGAGCTTCGTAATTGATTTCAGAATTTTTTTTCTTGATTTCATTCTGCTTGGTACTGGTTGGTATCCATTAAGTGGGGGTCTTTCATCATTTACTTTGGCTGTTTTATAAGCATCACTTGCCACTGTTCTTCTGATATCGGTGGGTGTTACACTAGTCAAAACTTATACCAAAGAAATGGGGATGAGTTTTAACTTTTTAAGCATCGAGTTATTAGACAGTACGTTTCATTTCCTTGAGTACCTATGTTGATTTTTCCGAAATAATACACCTCTCAGGGAATGACCAATACTAACTTACCATTCTCAGTTACCATTTGCAGTTTTTCCTTATTAATATTTACACCTCTTTGCCCACTTCACCTGCAAATGAAAATGATGCGGTTAATATCAGCTGTCGTGTCTATTAGTATTAATACATACGTATCTCATCAAAAATATGAATACCTCGTAAATATTGTAGTTTATCTTTTTTCTAAAAAATTACACTCATAATTACTTTTACAAACGGAATTAATAGTATTTTATGCTAAGTACTAAGTTTGGTTAGGTTTGGGTACACGCGGAACGTGCAAACGCGTGTCTACCATGGTAGGTGCCTATCTCTCACGTGACAAAATCGTTCAGACAACTGCATATACAACGCAAGTATGCGACTGACAGAAACACGTATATGACGTGTCAGTAATAGCTTTTTAACGGTATATAATAAAACAATATCATATTACAACGTGTATGTTCCACCCTCATAGATACGATATTTCTACATACAGGGTGACGCTTTTCATGATGAACGGTATAGGTAATTGAACTATAAATTAAGTAAATATTTTTAAAAGATACCTTAAGATTGAGGTACGTACAATTTTTTACTGCTGATGGGTACCATTATTGTTATAGTTGGAAAATTGGGAAGGTATAGGATACATAAAGTTATATAATTTATATCTGTAAGCAACGATAAACCATTGCTAACGAAAAACGATTCTGAGCAAAGTGCATTTATATATGTTTTTAAATGCCGTAATATTTACGATTTTCAAATTTTAATCTTAAAATGTTTATAAAAAAAATTTCTACATTACGTTACATTTTTTTTTCCTACTACCAAATTCTACACAAAAAATTAGAAAATTTATGATGTCTATAAATAAATAGCTGAAAAAATTACTATGTCTAGAAAAGGCGAATAGTAAGTTTTCTCTAAAATTTCAGATCCCTACAAATGTTTTTAACTGAATTAAAACAAAAAAACAAAATGTAAAATAATGAAATCATTATTTTCGTAAAATATCTTACTCTTCCTATGTTTTCCTAGGTTTTGATCAATTATTAGAAAAACTACACAGAAAATCAAAAAAACAACTTTTTTACTCACCAACTAGACCCAAAATACAACAAAAAAGATCTCTAGGCATTTTTTAAATTAAAGCAAGACTTCTGATAGGAAAAATAAAGCGCACAGATTTAAAAAGTGGGTCCAGTAATAAAGATTTTACTAATTTCAATTTTTTTTCAAAAGCAAGGGAATCTGGTGTTGATATAATAATTCTAACAAAAATAAAAATGTGAAAAAAGTGTCAAGTTTTGTAAAAAAAATCAGTTTGTCATCTTTGCCGAAAAAATAAATAATAATATCTAAGTGGATTTCAAATTGTTAAATGGTGGTGTTTGTTGTTAGAACATTTGCAAAAAAAAAAAAAAACGTCCTAGGATAATGGGGATGGGTGTAGCTACAGATAATTTAATGTTTACCTATAAGCAACAATAAACCATTACTTATGAAAAAACGATTCTAAGCGAAGTTTAGTTGATAGTGATGCTTTGTCAACAATATATATACGTCATTTTATAGTAAAATAATTAAATAGACTTCATATATTTTCTTTAATAATATTTGTTTCATGTTGTACTGATTTTCCCAGTTTTCCCAAGTTTTCCTGGTTTTCCCGTGTTTTATCCTGGTTTTTCACATTTGCTGATAAAACTCTTGAGAAAATCAAAAAATTACCTCTTTAAAGTACCTCGCTAGTGAAATTTTTTTTTAGAAACATTGCTATCATTAAAAAATGGAGCAAAATTCCTAGTAGAAAAATTGTGCACAGGAAAGAAAAATCATAATATTTTAGTAATATATTAAGTACATTTTTTCATTTTTCTTCCATTGTCATTCAGTTTTTCATTAATCAAAATCTCCATAGATAATCAATGGGTCGCGATACAAAAATAATCATTCTGTATAACCTTCAGATCGCTTATATTTTTTGCTTTTTAATTATTCTAAATCGGTACATCGCACCGGAACGACGAGTGTGCATAAACGTAGGTAGTTATTATTATTTGATTGAATAATAAAATATTCAGCGAAATGCATCCTTCTCTATAATTATTGCCATTCTGCCGTGTTCGTGACAGAACCATCGCGATGATGACCCAATTATTTACACGGATATAATATAATATTGTCTAACCTACGGACATCTGTACAATATATTATTTACTTATTACATGACATTAATTTTGTTTTATTGCTGGCACGTGAAAAATTGAAAAAAAAGATTATTCTGCTTGTTTCACTTATGTCATCTGAGCTTCAATATCTACTGTATACTATCGTATCGTTCCTTAAACCATCCACATAGTCAATCCACCAACCTCCCAAACCCATGACGTTAGACCATTCAAGTTTAGCGGATATAATGTTAATAGTCAGGTCCCCAGTAGCTCAGCTAATGAAGAAACAAAAGAATATCATATTTTAAATTATGATCCAAGCGAGAAATGTGTTAGTCTTTCAATAATATTTATTATTATAATTTTTTTCTATGAACAACTTTTCTACAGAAATTTCGCTCCAATTTTCGAGAGTGTAGCTTTTTTTCTGAAATAATATCTGACTAAGGAGTTCATTTTTTGATTTTCCCAAGAATTTTCCTAATAAATGATAAAACCAGGAAAAAAAATGAGAAAAACGAGAAAATTTACGAAAAGTATTATTTTAAAATCGTAAATATTATGACCTTTTAAAACATGTAAAACCGAATTCCGCTCAGAATCATTTTTCGTTAGCAATGATTAATCTGCGTACAGATACACATTAAACTTCTCTTCTTCCTGCCCAACTTCTCACCTACAAGTCCCTTACCAGTCCCCCCCATCGTGCGAAGTATGTTCGTTTATTTATTTATGTTCTTCGCGGTATTCATAGCAGGACACTGCGACTTAATATGATCGAAAGGTTATTGTTCACTAAAAACTTAGGGAACCTAACCTAACCTAAGCAGTAGGGAATAAAGCTAATTTTAGGAAAGAAGGATCGTAGGCAATCATAATTCACTAGTAAATGGGTAACAACGGCAAAGCTGCAAAGTTAGTTAAGTATTAAATCAGAAAATTTGACTTAATCTATTTAAAAGATGTAAAATATTAATCCAAAATAAATATTTTAATAAATAATCATACTAGGTACCTATCTAGTTGATATGTGTAAATCGATCATTTCTTCATCAAACATAATATTCAAGTACTTATATCTACTTAAGCAGTTTGCGTGTATAGCACTTATAATTACTACCTTGTATCCATTTTAATTAATTCCTTGTTATTAATTATGATTTTTTTTAAAAAAAAACACCTCATATTTAAAGACGCTGGTTTCCTTAACATTATTATATTTTAAAAAAATGTGCGTTGTGGTTAGTTGAGTTTTCAGCGAACAGACATTTTGGCCAAGTATTAAAAAATATTTATTTATTATTATTTTTTTTTTCTGGTAAGTAATAAACAAATGTATATTTATAATGTACATTTCATAATGTTGTTTGATTTTATATACAATCTGTTGTATTAATGAAATACATTCAATAATTAAATACCAATATACGAAGTGGTATAAAATATAAGAATATTAAAATAAAATAGTATAGTAAAATAAAACATATTAATAGAATAAAATAAACAAAGTGCTTTAATACTCTATACTCTTTAGCTTTTATGCACTCTAGTAATTTATCTCATTTATCTAAAAAGATATTACCAGATAGAAATGCACGGGACAAATTTAATATTTATTTAAATAAAAGGTGGTATTATTTGAAACGTATATATGGTCAAAACATAGTAAATCTTATAGTGCTTCAGTTTATAAAAAATCAAATTTCTCTAGCACAGACACTAATAGTTGCGTGATTAATTCCATGGATACTTTTCATGAAATAGATATTTTAAACTCTAAATCCTCCACTGGTCCAGATGAATTATCCTCGTTATTTGTATATAATTGTAGATTTATTCTTACTCATACTATTTGTCAACTTTTTACTTTATCTTTAAAACAAGGCTAGTTTCCGTTAAAATGGAATTTTACCGGAAAAAAACCTACATTAATCCTATTTTCAAAAAAGACAACAAATCTTCTATACAAATTATCGTCTTATTTCCATTATTTCTATTATTCCCGATTTTTTTTCAAAAATCATATATTCAAAACTTACCCCTTATTTAAAAATATTCTTAATACACAACAACATGGATTTCGCAATAATAGACCACCCTTACTAATTTAATTTCCATTAAATATTTTATTCTAGAGTCTTTTTAAAGGGTGACAAACAAAATTATGTTATTTATACCGGCTTTAATAAGTCTTTGATAGGATCGATCATAATCTACTTACCCTCAGACTTTATGCTCTAAGCAGTTTTTAATAGTTTAAATAATAATTTTAATACGTAGGAAAAACGGAATTAATTACGAAAATAAATGTTCCTATTGTTACTGCGGGGAATATATTAATCAATTAATTGATAGTCAAACACATTTTGCAGGATTGGGAAGGGGATAACTTTTACTTCTCCATAATAATAGACTACTCTCTTTAAACATATACCTATGAATACCATCACAATTGTACGTTTTATTTTCCAAACTATAAGTACACGTTATCTGTTCTCAAAATCTCTAGACTACCTCTTTTACATTCATTTCTCATTTTCCAATTACATCACGTATCCATTTAAACATTCGTATTATTTATTCCATTTCCAATTTTTATTTCATTCCACAAAAGTTTAATTAAATTTGATTCAATGGGTATAGTCACCAATAATATAAACACGACTATTAACAGTAGTATTTTAATTAAAACTATTTGAATAGTATCTACCTACCCGTTCTTATTGTCTGTCAACAGAATACAATTTTCAGAGAGCTAACGAATTAATGAAAATGAATAAGCCGAAAGAAAATGAGAATAATTTCAGTTTGAAGTTGACAAAATACATAGGCTTGTATCAAATTTTGGAGCCCGGTACAAGTAAAATATGGGACTACAATGTGTATCATGTAATTTGCGTGTTCTTTAGCTTATGCATACTCGCAGTTTTCATGTTTTTTCCGATCGGTTTGTATTATTTGTCAAATGACCTGACCGCGATCGTCTACTACGTCGGGTGTATAGAAAATATAATATTTTCTTGTAACAAAATCAGCGTTATCGTGTATCATTCTAAGAATATAAGAAAATGCATCCGCATCGTTAACTTCGACTCCATGTTGTATGAACATTACAACAGAAACATCTTCAAAGATTGGCGAAAGCGATACGTACGAGCGTCGCATATATTTGTCATAATTACCATCTTCGCAATGTTGGTTTGGATATCCAGCCCCTACGTGCTCAGTAAAACCATAGTCACGATAAAAAATCTCGACGGTTCGTACGCCAAATACCGAATGAATATTTTCAATTTATATTTCATAGCATCTGACGAGACGTACAATAAGTATTTCAATGTATTTTATTTGATCGAGATAACTGTTGCTATTTGTTTTACATATTTTTCGGTGGTTTTCGATATTGTCGTTATCACGATATGTGTTACAATATCCTGCCAACTAGATGCGATTGGTGATGCATTTCAATCGTTAGGACACAAAAATCCTGTCCGCAATAATCCAAGTACGTATTTATTTTTTTTTTTTCCAGTAGTTACCTATTTAGGTATGATGTTCCGGAGAATAAAACAACTGTTTCATATCGTCCAAATGTATAAAATTAATAGAATTCATAAGAAGCAATATTATATTAATTAACAACGATTTTCAATGCAATATTATTTACTTTTAGGATGGTGTGGGATATTTTCACGAAATAGGAGACGTTTTAATTTAATATGGTACCATAAATATGTTATGCAGTGTAAAAATTACTCTATTTGGGCCAGAAAAAAATATTGAATTCTATTAAATATTTTTTTTTTTAACAGTTTATGATACCAACAAAATATGATGTTTACAGATTTCAATAATGTAAAAATTACAGAACATAAATTTAACGCATATGATAATTTAAAAATAATAATTATGGATCATCAAAACGTAATGAGGTGAGTGATATTTGATATAGGTACTAAATATAATAATGATTTTAACCATAGTTAAATAATAGTTATCAATAAAAATAACTTAAACCGGAAAATTATATTTAAAATGACTAATAGAATCGAAAATGAAATTAAATATAAAATAAAAACATATTATTTAACTATTTAATAATTTACTATTTTCAGCATAATAAACGAGAGTTATAAAATCTTCAGTAAAATAATGTTAACTCAGATATTTGTGACATCAAGTTCGCATATACTCATTTGGTTTATCACTTCGTTGGTACGATCAATAGTTATTATATTACGTCTTACTAGGTATAACATTAACTAAAAAAAAAAAAAATTGTTTTATTATTTATTTAATAAAATTTTATCGTCTGCACTGTAGACTGTTTATGTATAAAATTATAATTTTTAACACTTATACTAGGTACCAATAACATTTAGTGGTTTTTCGATTTAGAATTATTTTAGAGGTGGAGCTGGACATTCTATTTTGTCGATAAAGCTGTTTTCCGTACTCCCCATGTTTTCATGTCAACTTCTCATGACGTGTTATCTATTCGGAATCATAAACGAAAAAGTAATTAGTAATTGAGTAATTAATAATTAAGTATTATTATGTATTCTTACATTTGTATATGATTTTAAAAAAAAAAATGATTCATCAATATATCTCTATAGAAATCTCCGCAGACCTCATATCTCTCTCGGTCGTATCTAATCATCGTCTACTTTTCAGACTTTTGTCCTTAAGACATTTTCTCGTTGTTCCTTCGAATTAATTTAGAAAACCACTCTCATATCCCCCGATTCAACTTTTTTAATCTTAGATCTCATATTATAAATCAAACATTATTAAGTGAAACATAATTAATAAATAATTTAATCTATATAAAATATCTAAACATTTATTTTGGTTATTTTAATATTCAGAAAGATTCGATAATTTTTGCACTGTATAGCAGTAACTGGACAGATATGGATGTGAAAACTAAAAAGTTGATTTTGTTAGCAATGAAAATGAACAATGCCAACCAATTGAAAATGAAGTTTACAAACACCAAAGTTGTTAACTTAGAAATGTATTCTAATGTAAGTATGCCGTGCTCTATGCATATTATAAACACTATCGCTTTAGTTATTTTTCGTACAAATTACTTTAAATGAATAAAAATGTTTTTTGAAGCATAAATAACTCCGCGATAAGTTCACCATTCATTTTTGTTGCAATAACTATTTAAATTCGAACGCTTGTCGAATACTATTTATTTGTGTGTTTAGACTAAAAAGTATGTATGGTTTTTTTTTAAATTTTTTTTCTTGTTACGAATAAAATATAAAAAGACTCGACTAGTATTAGCGACCGATTCCGTCACAAAGCGTAAATATTATAGTAGTTTCGTGATATCAAAAAAATGCTTAAAAATGAGACCTGAAGGTTTTATATTTCTTGTTTAGTGCATTGTCTCAGAAACTAACTGTACAAATTATAGACTATATAGTTCGTATCGCAGTAGAAATTTTAAATAGTAAAGGTCCATTAGGAAGTAATCAGTCGAATCCCCCGTCATTATATAAAACGAAGGTTAATAATTTCTTGTATTATACAATTATATTTACAGACCATGCGAATGTGTTACACGATATTTTCAATGTTAATAAAATATAATAAAAACCAAATCAATTAGAACCGTAAAATGTAAGTAAGTTCTATAATTTTTTCTAAAAAGATGATTAGGTACATTTTATTTTGTTTCCAGCAGTGTATTTTTTTGTATATAATTATATTCCTGTATTTTATTATTCTATTACAGATACCAGACCAAACTACGTCGGCGTTAACAATGAAATACCTTTTTTTCTACACTCATTATGGCGGTAAATAAATACTGAATTTGTAAACATCTATATATTACTATAAAGATACACAGACAAGTGAAAGGGTGTTTTTTTACCCAACCAATATTATATGAACATTTATCGAAACCCAGGCACCTAGGCAAAAGGCACTGTTGAAAACTTAATATTATCCTCATGGAGACATTTTTGAAATAAAATTACGAATTAGATAATACGACTATACGAGTAGTGTATGAGTACTTAAAAAACGAAATCATTGTCCGTAGTCTATTTCTTAGTACTTAAAGATTTAGGTATATTTTTTTAAATTAAAACATTCAAATTAGTTTTCTTGAAATTGTATTGCTTTTTTTAGTATTTGGTGCTTCTGGTAGTAAATACTTAAACCAGTTTCCTTTTTAGATTAGTTTTATTTCTAAACATTAAACATGTCAACATAGCCCTACTGGCTTACACGATATAAATACATATATATGACGTTACGTAAATTAAACCTCAAATTGATATTAATTGAATATTAATGAGAAAGAGGACAAATAAATAAAATCTGAATGCCGCGAAAACAGATTATAATTTGGATGACAACAATGCTATAAAAATATATAATATTAGAATAGACAGATATTAAATACATTTTGATAACAGTGACGAATCTAGGATTTTGTTTGTGGGGAGGGGGGTAAAATATATTTAAAATACTATAAAATAAATGTTAATAAAATATCCTTATCTAGTATAAACTATAAAGGTTTGTATTGTTAATTTTACTGAACAATAAACGTAAGTAATACCTTTATAATAAGACAGTAACTTTAAAATATAAAATACTATTAGATACTATACTATGAAAGAATAATCAATGCTATTTTAAGAAGATATACATTATGTGTTATAAGAAGGTATTAGTATTAAACTTACCTTATATTAAAATTTAAAAATTGTGTTTGACAAATTTGCTTGTGGGTAGAGAGTAAATCCCCTCTGTCCCTTGGTCCAATGTTAGTCATCATTTGTTTCTGGTAGAACACAGATAGTAAAAATTATTAAACATACTATCTTTCTTTTAAATAAAAGCACTTAAGTAGGGAAAACGTACAGTTTCACGATTTTATTATTTTATAAAAACTTGAACGACGTTTTCCACCAGAAAAAAATGATTTAATCGAAAAATCACAAGGCACTCTTTTTGTTGTCTTTTTTATTTATTTTCTTATGATATCACCGTCAAAACTTTTGAAACAATTTTGAGTTTTTAAGGAATTTTATTTTTGGTAGTTTTTTTGCTGTAATTTGGTTATAAATACATGTAGAGACTTGAAACTTGGTAATAATACTGGATATATACTGGATTTATCTAGACGTGATAAAATTTCCAAAATCATCGGAAACCTTTTTTTTTTAATAGGCGTTTTGAAATCAAATTTAAACGAAAATCACGAAAAAAATTATGGCACTTCAAATTATGTATTACAGAACTGCGCTCGGAATCGTCATTCGTCAAGCAATGGTCTATCCTTGCTTACAGAAATAAATGAAATAACCTTATGTATCTTACCTTCCCAACTTCTTACCTACGGCAGTAGCCGTTCCCATCCCCGGTATCAGTTCTAAAGTAGCTATTACTATATTTTAATGATTGTAGTTCTTCAAAGGCATAACTGCTGTTAATCTATATGCAATAAGCCTGAAAAATAGTAGGCCGTTTAGAAAAATAATAATTAGTTCACAAACGGGCTATCCTATTACAAAGAGCCTAGTCTTTTCGTAAAAAGACTAATTTCCCATATGGCCTACGACATATACATATATAGAGCGTGTAATTTTAAATATCCCATTTTATTATATGAATTATATAATTATCGTAATATTCATGATTATCATCTAAATTTGACCTTAAAATCATTATATAAAATTCTACATTACATTTTTTTTATCACTAAGTACAACTTATGATGAACCTCCTGTCAAATTGTCAAGCATTTCTGTTTAGTCAAACAATTTTAAGATCCAAATAGTACCTACAAAAAAAAAAATTCGCAAACATAAGATATCTATAAATAGCTCAAAAATCGCCAAAATATTGAACATTTTACCTCATTTAGAAAAGCCAAATAAAAGTTTTTGGTCCAAATTTAATTTTATTTACAACATTCCCTATTATTGAACATTCCTGAATCCACTACTGTAAGTAAACCATATTAGATTTTAAAAAATAAATATTGTAAACATGACTATTCTGCGATTATATTTTTGTTTACACGTAAAAAATAAATATTTTATCGTGTGACACGTGACGTGTAGGTACGAAAAATAAAGAGCTTATTGGCTTATATAAGGCCGTTCTTATCAAATAATTATGCTACTTTAAATAACTATTAGACATATGATTACTATATGGGTACCTGATACTTATTATACCTGTAGTATACAATTAAATTATGCGTAATAAATTTTCAGTTTTTGAAGTATTCTAGTATACATAGAACATGTTTGGTGTGCTACCACCCGTAATTCAATTTATACAAATTGTTTTTCACGGAAAAAAATAACTCTGGCCACAGCTTTAAAAATGTTCACAATTTTAATAGGAGAACTTACACTGTGCAGGATTTTTTTTTGCTAATATTACAAATTAAAAAAGATATTATTGTTAAAATTTAAAATTTTGTTAGGTAGTTTAAATAAGTTTTTCAAACTCCGAATAACTTTTTTCATAATAGTAGTATCAAAAAACTAAAACCAATTTTACAACATTTTGTTTCTCAATTAAATTAATTGACTGAGTAGTTTTTTCTCGCACGAAACGGTTTTTCGTAAACACTTTTGTTAATTTCACGATTAAAAAATAAATAATTGTGATAATAAGACAGGATTTCTTTTAAATAAATTTGAAAGTGAATTTGAATATTTTGAGTTAACGAAATTTCATTATCCTAAAAGTTTTGAGAAAATTGCTTGTTTTATACAATCACTTAATAAGTGACGTAACTAACATGTTAATTTGCTAATTAAATATATATTTTTTACATCGCCATTGATAATGCGTGATATTAATAATTTTCGATGTTGAATTCGAGGTCGCAGGTGGAGCACGTGCACACCTATGAATGGTTTATAAATCATAAGAAAAATGTAAACTATGAACTAATGAAATTTGATAGCTTGTAGATGTACATTGGTATAGATCGTCCGACTTTTATCTGATTATATAAGTGGAACAATAATAATAATTATAGATAGGTACCTATAAGTTATACAGCTAAAATTTAATAAATCATTGGTCCAATATTAGGTATAAACTAATTAGTTTGCAGACAAATACTTTATGCATTTAAAAACTGTAAATCTAGGTACAATATTATTTATTTTCAATTTAATGGTAATAGTGTTTTTATAAAATGAAAAAAAAAAAAGGAAGAGTAAAAAAATATAATGTGGGTATGCATTGAAAAATAAATAAATGGTATATAGAAATATGAATGACAAATTACGTAACAATTATAAATAATAACTAAAATAATTAATATATAATATTATAAAATGTTGATAAATATAAAGCTACTTAGACGGATTTTCTTGAATTAGAAGAATGTTTTAACAATGTGGCTGACTTAAATCTAAAAGTATTAAGAGATGTATTAAAAATATCCAAGGTGATTTAGACTACATTCGCAACTTTCAATGTTCTAATTAAAAAGGAGTCCCTACAAATTTTACACTTGTAATATAAAATAATAAAAATATCACGACTACGGGAGTATGTTAAAAGGGTGTAATTCGTCTATTTGAGCTAAAAGCTCGGGACATAAAATATTATTATTTAGTAAATTGTAAAGAAACATATAACATCAGATACCTGACGTCTTAAAATGCGAAAATCTAAATTTATTACATTTTGGACTAAAATGAAAGTCTCTAGAAATGTGTACGTTAGATGATTTATGAGTGATTTAATACTGCGTAAACATATACAGAACATTATAAACTATCAAGATTATATTTTATGTAATTAAATAATTATTAGGAACAAATTACTGACCCGACTAGTTGTAACGTGGTTGTTACAAGGTATAGGTACCTACTATCGATATAGATAGGTGTTCAAAATTGTATGCAATATTTGCTTAAGTACCTATTCAATACTAATTTTAAAAAAGTGTAAACTGTGAAAGTTTGTTTTCCACAATGAATTTGATCAAATAGAATCAAATTAATGCTTTGACCGATGAAACCATTATACCAGTGCTGCTTGTTTGTTCAAAATACTTTCACTAATTACACTATTGATATAAAATATTTATGTATTAAAAACAGCAATAAAAATTACATTAAAACAAATTTCATTTTTAGTATATATAATTCAATAGTTCAGGCGAAGGAGAGGAAGAAGAAAAAGGACTTATTGTTTACAGTTTATCATTAAAAAATAATAATATACATTAAAATTACTGCTGACCATACTCAGATTGTTATCACTAGAATCCGGATTAATATTCTTTTATAATCCGCAAAAAGGCTCTTAATAATGTCAAAAAAGCATTTTAAAACATTTAAAAAAGTAAAAATGAGCGAAGGGCACCCCTTTATAACTTGTTAAATTAAATTTCCTAACACCGCAAAATTATTTCATTTAAATAAAATAGTACGTATTATAAAAAAAAAAAATATATGGTTTTTATTAATCATTTTTGTGGTGTTAGAAAATTGTATATTGTATTGTTATTTATAAATTAAATCTGTTAGAGCGTGGACTTTTAAACCCCTCTATTATTTTTTACTTTTTTAAATATTTTTAAGTGCATTGAAAAAAATACTTTTTTGACGTTTACAAGTGCTTTTTTTGTATATTTTAAGAATATATAAATCCGGTCTATCTAGTAATCATTAATAATCGACTTAAATATCGAATAAATCGAATATCGAATAAATGCATGAAACAGCACCGCACCGGTAAAAACACCATCTAAAAATATAACAGAATAACTAAAGTAAAACACTAAGGCAATAATAGGTTTATAAATATAAATTACTACACTATTAATATACGTCCCATAAATTATATTCATTATGGCCTCCGTTGAGTTTTGGCGGTAAAACATTGATCAAGGAGAATAAACATATACAAGACGGGGTCCACGTTTTTTTTCATATTTGTGTCATACATGGTTGATAAGATTTGGAGAAAATGATTTTTAGAACTGTCCAAAGGGCTACCCGGCATTACGTCTTCCGACGATACATCTACTGTTTAAGTACTCGTTCGATTTGTAATATTCCGTCAATTCACCAGGAAATCAACAGAAAATACAGTAAAATGCCTACGTACCAAATCGAAGAGAAAGGTTCACCCAATACGATGGATTACAAATTGTATATAAGTGAGTCAATAAATTATGAAGTTTTTTAAAAGTGTGAATGTAATTTGTCTTTATTTTTGCATATTCCATTTGACTAGGTTTTGAAAATTGTCTGTTCTTTTTTTTTTTGATGTTTAAAGGTCATTACGAATATGACCTTTGCACTAATATGAACTGAGACGACTTGTTGGATTCTCTATTGTACTCTGCATCAAATCTATTTAGGTATTTACATGCCTCAGTACTTTATGGTTTGTTTGTGACAACAAGTGACTTGGAAATTACAGAAATGTAATCAGTAAAATCTGTTATAAATCTAGTGTCATATTATGGTCTTCCTTTGATATTTAAATATTATAATTTCAAATTAAAATCTTACTTTTATAACTTTTTAAAACCTACTTTTATTGTTTAATGAAAAGTTTACAATCATTTCAATTTTTAAACATACTTCCTATTATAGGAATTAACCCATTATTAGGTAGATAGCAAATTATTAATAAGGCTCAAAATTGATTGATTTTGCAAATTTGTTTGCTTTAAGAAATGGGATTTATTGCCGAGTTAAATATAGGTACATTCAATCATTAAGAATCATTAAAAATAAAAACATTTTTGGGGCATTTTTGTTTTCAAAATTATTTTTGTAAACATTAAGATTTTATTGCAATGTTCATGTATATTTTGCATCTTTTAGAATCTTGGTAAATTGTTCAAAATTATTATTTTTTTATTCAAATTAATATTTTTAAGTATAGGTGTATAGGTAATATTTAGACAGATTTTTTTCAATTAATTTCTTAACTATTTTAAGATAAATTTTGAATGTTTATTGCATTTTGTTTAACATACAGTTAATTAGTTAATAATAGTTAATTAATTATTTAAATGACAACTACTGAAGGTTCCTATTCATTCAACAAATTATGAAATATTAATTAAAATGATGATTTTTATATTGATATAATATGGTATCTACATAGTGTCGTTAATATAAAACTATGTAGTAAGTTAGACCAGGTTACTTTGAAAATATTGTGCAAACAGATTTCTCACTACTATCAGTTAAAACTAAAAAAAAAGTTACCTGTTAATTTTCACTCATGTCTCAGTTAGTATACAATTTTCTTTAGACAATTATTTATAATTTTCAAAAGTGTCAACATGGTATAAAATTACATTAAATCTTGAATATCGTGAGCGTTTTTATAAAAAATATATATGTATATGCAAGGATTCTTGGCTTTACAGTTATTAATTTCATTTATTAAAAGTAGTTGTGTATTTTATTTACTGTTGAATGCATAAATAGCTGCACAAAATCTTAAAATGTAAAAAGATATTAGAAATTAATATATAAACAATCAATGTGCACTGAATTCTGTGTGCTTAATTCAATGGTATAATCAAAACTTATCTATCATATTTACTTTTGAAGTTATTGTACATAAAGCATTTTGGGTGCACCTATAGACCTGGCGAGGTCACTCGATTTCTGCGCTCGCTCAGATTGTTTAATCGAAAACAACTCTTAATTTGTTGCGCAAAACTACGTCGGGTAGGTAATAGGGAAAACTAAACCAGATAGACTTATTGAGACTTTAATAAAAAAAAAAACTTTGTTATCAAAATATCAATTAATACAAATCATAATAATATTTAAAAAAAATGTCTATTTTCGACCACATTTTGGATTAATTCCAAAAATATTTTTTTGAAATGTATGTACAATAACTTCAAAAGTAAGTATGATAGGTAAGTTTTGAGCCCTAAACTAGATTTATACCCTAAAAATAATCCTAATTTTAGTTTTTTTTTTTTTTTTTTAAATAAACATCCTATTGGAGTATAAACCGGCTTATAAAAAGTTCTGTGCAATATTTTTATGAGTAGATGCTTAAATTCTAATTATATGTTAGGTAAGTTTTTAAATATAAGTTAAATAAAAGTTTTTAAGTACCTAATAGTTCGAATTCCCAAATTACTCTGAAAATAAAAAAATAACCAAAATATAAATCTAATCAAGAATTTAATTTTGAATTTTTTGATGTATACTAAATTATTAGGACTTTAATAGTTTTAAAAAATGTATAGGTACAATACTGTCAATATAGTTTGTCAAAAACAATAGCATTCCTACCCAAGGTGTGTCTTAATTTATATTCTTTGTTTAATAGAAATAGGTAGGTAATAATTGTGTGTTATTTATATTAGCCTAGATATCTTAAAATTAAATCAATATTTAATTACTAAGTTAATAATTTTTATTACAGTTGTATTATATGTACTCGTTAAATAAATACAACATGCAATTTATTTTAAATAATATTACTAAAATTATATTAATAGTAATATGTTTATTATAGTATATTGGTCAAAATATACATTTAAATAAATACACGATAGATTAATAATATTATGTCTTCCCATATCTCCAAAAATCCATTTTGCTGGTATCCCAATTCGCCAACCATCTTCTTTCCTAAATTATGATCTGCATTGCTTAAATTAATAATCAAATATAACAATTTACACATTAAAAAATTTAAATGAAATAAAATCGTAAGTATAATATTAGGTAAAACTCAATATTTAATTTAAAATCTAAATAAACAGTTACTATGGCTACATACATACAGATTTATATTAAATATTGTTTAATTATGTACTAAATGGGAAACTATTATACAATATAATTAATGCTATGCAATTATAATGCAATATAATAAACAATGTATATAAATGCTCAAGATTGGATTATGCGAAGAGACAATATCTTTCAACAAAATATTTTTTAATGCACACGGTCAAATATAAGTTCATAAAATAAAATAATTTTACTAGTAAATTATAAAATAAAATAATTTTGCTAATAAATTATAAAATAAAAATGTTGTTAATTTCATATCACAAACAATTATAAATGATAAATCTATAGTAAATGTTGAAGTGGTATTTGAATAATGAATAAAAATGTAATAAAGTTTGAAAATTAAAATGGGAGTTGTGAACTGCATTGTATGTGGAATCTTGTAATAATAGAAGAAAATAAGGAAAACAAATTGTAAAGTATTAATCTTTAATAACTAATCCAGCCTGATAAAATATGTGTAAATATGTATTGTTTAAAATATAATATTAATTATTAATGTATTGGTTTCATTATTATGTATAGTACTTGTATGGTACAAAATTATACAATTATGTAAAACCGTAAAATATAGTTGCACAACTTTTTTTAGTTTGAGTTACATAAAGTGTTTAACGTTTCAGGGTCTAATTAATCCTTAGTACAATATTGTAAATTCTGCGTGGGTTCATCTACTATTTGAAGAAAAAGCTAATCTGTAAAACTGATTCATCATAATTATTATCATAATAGTTTTTGATAGTATAACTTATGTTTGAATATATTTTAATTAGAAATATTAAGTTGTATTTATTCTTTAAATCCATCATAGCGTTTTCCTTTGGTTAAAAATGCTTTTACCTTTTTTTTTTTTTTTTTTTTTTTTTACAGAAAATGAAAATGGAATAGTTTCACCATTCCATGATATTCCTCTACTAGCTGATAGCACTGGTAAAGTTTTTAACATGGTAGTTGAAATTCCTAGATGGACAAATGCAAAAATGGAGGTTAGATACAGATATCATCTGATTTTAAAAGTATACCTATTTTATATTATTTATTTAAACAATTTTTTTCTAGATCAACACAACATCACCTTTGAACCCGATAAAACAAGATACAAAAAAAGGTAAACTACGTTTTGTACCAAATGTATTTCCTCATAAAGGTTACATATGGAACTATGGTGCGTTTCCTCAAACTTGGGAAAATCCAGATGTGTTAGATGAACACACAGGATGCAAAGGTGATAACGATCCTTTAGATGTACTCGAAATTGGATATAAAGTAAGCTATACAGTTTTCATTTAAATGTTTTTAAATAATTTTTTTTAGATTCTCAGTGGAGCAATAAATGTTTTAATGATTTTGCTATGATTGTGCTAATTTTATGTAATTTATTTTCCGGAAATCTCATTTCATTAAAAAAATAACATGACCTTTTCTGTTATATTTTGGATCTAGTTGATGTATTGAAATGATGATTTTTTTGATTTTCATAATAATTTGGTAAAAAAAAACCTAAAGGGAGAAATTTACAGTGTAATGATATGGTTATTTTAATTTTTTTTTGGTTTTTGTTTAATATTAGATATCTTGCTCCAAATTCTAAAAGAAAATTTTGTCTAGTTGTGCAGTAGAATGACTGTTTTTGATTTTTTTGTAGTTTTTTTAATAGTTGTCATAAAACTGGAAAGTTTATGTCATTAATAGTTTCATTATTTTAGATTTTGCTCTTTGTTCTAATTTGGTTAAAAATAATCACAGAAACCTGAAATTTGTACAGAATACTTATATTGCCAATGCCTTTTCAAAACTTTGTACTTTGATCTAATTTTTAACTTAGTGTGAAAAATAAAAATTGAGCTTTATGTATTTTTGTGTATGAGTTATATAAGATCAAATTTTGAAATCTTAAAAATTATGGCATTTCAAACTTGTCTAACTGAAGTTTACTCAGAATTATTTTTTATTAGAAATGGTTGAATAAAGATTGAAATTAAATAATTTTATGTAATCGTTTCCATCTTCTAACCTACAACATGGTCACACCCATAAGCAGTATCAGCTCAATTTAAAATATTATTTTTAATTTTTTCAGGTTGCTAAACGGGGTGAAGTACTTAAAGTTAAGGTGTTGGGAACTGTTGCATTGATTGATGAAAGCAAGTATCTTATTATTCTTATTACATTAAATAAGTTTATGTACTACATATTTTTAAATTTTTGTTAAATTAAGACTTATTAAGACTAAAAAATTGGTTCATTGGTGGTCCCCAGAGATAGGTACCCTTAGAAAAACCAAAATTTACTTATGAAGGGTTTACTAAAGGAAGTTGAAAAAACAATGACTAGATGGTTCCCAAATCGAGAGAGACGAAATGAAAGTTGCACGGCGGAATCTGCAAGGCAATAAAGTACGCCAAAGAAAAATCATGGAAGGAGTTTTGTAAAAAAGTAGAAAAAGACTGATGAGGTTATCTACCATACTGACTGAAAACAGGTAAGCTTATTAAGAACAAGCCAGGAAGGGTGGAACAAATCACTGTCCCCAATGCACCTCACTAGAGTACAAATGAAATGTGAACTAGAAGGAGCAGCCCCATACATCACAACAGAAAAGATATAAGATGTGGCATTGCAACCAAGAAGGCACTAAGACTGGTTGGCATACCAACAGAGATCCTGAAAAATCAGCTCGAAAAAAATCTCAAAATAATAACAGACGTATTTAAGAAATGCATTGACCAGAGGAAATCACCAACTTCTTGGAAGATAGCAAGACTGGTGCTATTAAGAAAATAAAACAAACCGCTAGAAAATCAGTCGTTCTACTGATCCTATCAACACCATTTAGGGAAGTTACTGAAAAAAGTGTTGGACAAACGAATAAAAAAACATCTCAAAGAACAGGAAGCTTTAGCACTCAACCAATTCGGTTTCAGAAGGCACAGATTCATAATTTCACTCTTAAAATTTTTTCTTTTAGGCAAGTCAAAATAGGATAAGTTAAGCTCTTTGTTGTATGCCGAAGATAAAATATAACAGGTTCAGGGACTCTTGTAAAGCGATATTTTAAGGGCATGGCTGGAGGAGCCTGTCCTCCATTCACCTGCGGACAACTTGTAATTGTATTTGTTAAATTCAATAAATAATGATTTTTTTTGGGGGGGGGGGGAATCATCAAGGATAGATCCTCTGCTTAGTTCTGATCTAACATGACTTATTAAATCAAGGTTTATTATTAATTAAAGTTTAATTTACAGATGAAACAGATTGGAAAGTACTTGCCATTGATGTAAATGATCCTCTTGCACCTGTAATCAATGGTAAATTTAAAAATGTTTTAAACAAAAAAATTCATTAGTTAAATTATCAGAATTTTTTAAGCAACTATGCATTTCATTAAATATTAAAAGTATAATATAAGGTTATACAGTGATACAGGTTAACCAAAAATAAAGAAATTCAAATATTTTTTAAATAAACTTTTAAATGTAAATGTATATTTTATTTTGTAATACATATGTATTAAAAAAATTTCAAAATATCTTAAAATGTTTATAAACAATATATTAATATTTTTATTTATTTATTTTTGTTTAACCTATTATATATAAAACTGAGGTTTTTATTTATGTTTTTAATGTTCAATGAAATGTATTATTTTTACTGTTATATAGCTATATATATTTAAAGCTTTAAAAAATACAATATTTCTTTTAATAAAATTATTGATTTTATTACTAGACATAAAAGATATTGAAAAACATTTTCCCGGTTTATTAAAAGCCACCATCGAGTGGTTAAAGATCTACAAGATTCCAGACGGTAAACCTGAAAACAAGTTTGCATTTGGTGGTGAACCCAAAAGTGCTGAATTTGCCCTGAAAATTGTTAGTGATGCACATGAATATTGGAAAGGTTTGATACTAAAAGAAAACACAGATGGTATATCTTGGTGTGTACAAGTTTGAAACAATTTGTGTTTGTGTTTATATTATTTTATTTATTACTGTCAACGATTGATTTTAGTGTGAACACTGCTTTAAACAATTGTTCCACTATTGACAATGAAAAAGTCCAAGCTATATTATCAGAAAGTTTGCCGCTGTCTGATCCAAGTCCATTATTACCAGAAGGTAAATTGTAATAATGTAATTGATAATGACCTCACGAAAATATACCCATTGTAATATGTACGGAGATAATAAAAATAATAAAATTCTGTTTTGCTGTATACTACTCACATGGATAAGGACTAAACATGTTTATATTTTAGTTAATTTTTTATGTTTTTATAAAAAAAAAAAAAACATTATCTTATTATTTTTGAAATATTTGAAAATGGCCATGTTATAGGGTTTATTGTTTGACCAATTTTGACGTTTCACTTTTTATTTTCATTAAACCCGTGATTTTTTAAATTTCAGGGAAAAGTACCTATAATTATACTACAGGCTGTAATCGCATTCATTAATTTATTATTATTATGGCTAATTGACTGTGAAATTGTTTCCACTGAATTTTAAAAAATATTAAGAATCCCAATTCAATGAATATATAAAAGTTTAATACGTTAAAATTATAAAAAAAAATAACTTTATACAATCTATATCTTTAAATTTCTACCAAAATATATTCTAATAAATTGAAATTTAAATATTTGAATTTTTAATCCATATGAATAATATAAAAAAAATAGAATTTGATTATCTTTATTATCTCTTGAGATAATACAATGGGAATTATGAGTTCAGATAGTTTTATACAAAAAATAAAGTTATTTTTAAGTATGAATGAATAATTATAATTTTATAAATTTATTACAATTTAAAAAATTCATTTTCAGTATAAATTCTTGACTCATTAATCCAAAATATAATTCTCTATTAGATAGTTTTGGTTATTGTAACTTAAATTTCAATGAATTATTTATAGTCTTTAAATGAGCTAAATTCGTATGCAAATTTTTTCATTTAGTTAATTTCATAGACCTTTTTTTATTTTTTCATTGTCTGCCATTTTTTTAATTTTTTTTTGTTTGTGTCAACATGTTTTATACATTATAAAAGAAACTTAAAATTATGAAAAAATTTAGTTATTTAGTTTTTGTATGCAATTTTAAGAACTCTTAAATTTAATTAAATAAAGAAAATCAAATAATTTATAATAATGTTGTGGTGATTTTTACAGTTGATGTATGGTTCTTCGTAAAATCAAACACATTGACGTTTAAATTGTAGTTAAATTCTTTTTAAAATTATTTATATTGTAAACCAAAATTTTCATGTTAATATAATTATTTTTGTTGCAGTTGATAAATGGCATTTTGTGAAGTTATAAAATATTTATTCATTAGCCATGGTGGCTGACGAAATTAAGAAATGGGATCAAATAAAAACTTTTTGTAGGTATTCTATCAATTATGATGTACTTTTATCTAAATAAACGCAGATTTATAGCCTATGGTCATTCCTAATTTGTATTGTACAATTCATTATGCCATACTTACAAAGTAACATGTATTATTATTTTTTTTTTTTTCATAAAAAACCTTTTTACAATGTTTATAATCTCATTTATTTTGGGATATCATCTTCCCCCATCAAAAAAAGACGAATCAGATTTATTAATTACAATATTTTTTTATGGGAATTAAAAAATATAAATACAATAACAATTTTACAATATTAAATGTCTATATTTCTGAATTCATTTTTGTTCAACAAACGAGACTAGAATAACAAACTATTTTCTGGAAACTAGATAAAATATTTCATTATTGCATAAAAAAAAAAAAAGTTATTTATTTTTAGGCTATACTTTTGAAAATTATGGTGAAAATAAATGGACATTATAGAAATTAAGTACAATTCTTAATTTGGGATGGATTTTTGGTAACCCTATACCTATTAATGATATCTGATGTACACACATCTCTCATAATCCCATATATTTTTACACAACAAGAAATGATTCTAAGTGACGTTCAATTAACGTGTATTTGTAAATTTTAATTAAAAATTGTAATCATTTTAAATAATTGTAAAAAAAAGAAAATTCAACAAATTTTGAACCAATGCTACATACTTTATTCAATTGTAACTAGAGAAATATTTATTATTAACCACAAAGTTTTTATTTAACAATCTTATCACATAATGAATAAAGCTTTTCCGATGTAATTTCATTATTCTTCATTGTTTTTAAAGAGATAAATCTAGTTCTCCCCAAGTCATATTTTCAGAATAAATTACCTAACAAAACCTCTGTCAGTGGCGTTTCCTGGTAACTTTTTTTTTTTTAAATTTTATTGTATTTACAATAAATAAATAATTTTGATAATAAGTAAGGTCAATGTGGTTGTACAATTTAAAATATGTACAATCATAAGGAGTAACTTATTTATAAAAAAAAACTTATTATATTTTAATTAATATAAAAAAATTTTATATATTTTCCATTTAAATTCTTTCATTATAAATTTACTTGTAAATTCTATGTATATTTAAAATTATGAAAATAAAAAATGTAACAAATTATTATTTAATATTTAATTATTTAAATTAAACATAATAATATTCAATAGAATGTACTAAACTGTTGAGTGCAGACTGAAAACTGAACGTGTTTTATTGAAATCAAATACCGGTAGCGGAGTCTTTAAAAATAACGCTTTACAGTGCTTCAACTATATATTACGCCATTTATTCCATGCACCACGTATTCGTATAACAATAGTATATAATGGTATAAACAGCATGACTTGAAATTTCAACAACTATTATTTCTATTTAAATAAAATATAAAATATGAAATATTATTCTATATTTTCATTTAAAATTTATTATATCATTGTAAGTGAGCATCTTGCATGTTTTATTTACATTTGGGCTTTAACACACAATTGGCCTATATTAAATACATAATAAAATGTATATATAACTAAATATTGAGGATCTGATTAATCGTGTTCTTACAAAGACCATATAATTGGTCTTACCTCAACTTTGAAAAGATAACAAACTTATTGACTAATATCGAGATTATATAAGTAAACTATTGACAAGTTTTGCCTTGCATAACATTACAAATTTATTTATAAAAATGGAAAATTATTAAAACAATAATTGTGTATAATACGTACAAATGTATATTATTAAATAATTCCATTTCATCATTCTAACTATTTGGGATTGACCACCCTCGTCTTAAACTTATGTTCCATCCAATCCCCTACCTCGCATGTATAGGCTGTTCTTATTTTTGTCAATCACATTCAACCACATTTTTTTCGGTATTCCTCTCATGGCAAGCCCAAACCATCTCAGTCTATTATCTCTCATTTTTCAAAGCCCACACCTAAGTTATCTTATATTTATTCATTCGTTATCCTTTTTTCTTCCGTCACTTCACTCATCTACACTTGATCATTCTCAGTTTTGCTACACAAATTTGTTTTATTTTTCTGTCCATCATACTCTCAACTATACAACATGATTGGTCTTACCACACTTGTAGAACTTACCTTTAAGTTTTGTTGGGAATTTTACATCCTCGTCAAAGCTACCGTTTTGTACAAAAGATTCTAGGTGCCTAAACTCGAAACTTCGCTTATTGTTATTAGATATCTTGTTCTGTTCCCCTAAACAATTTAAACACATACTCTATATACTCTGTTTCACTATTACTTATTTTCAGTCTCTTTCCTGCAAATGTTACTCTCCATTCTTTATTAAGGCTATTGTTAACTTTGAGGTTTTCTCCTATCAAAACTATATTATCTGTAAACACCATGCACCATGTACATCACCTAGTATTTTTTTCGTAACTTAATTTATTACAACAAATATAGGTAAGGACTTAAGGCTGATCCCTAATGCACATCTGCCGCCAAATATTCTGTTATTTTACACATCTTACATTCGTATTTGAGCCTTCATACATATACCTTATAAAACTAATACACAATCTTGGAATTCCTTTTCTCATTAACGCAGATAATTAAAATATATAATAAATGTATCTCTACATGTATGGTAATTTAATGGTTTCTCATAAAATAATTTAATATGTGATTTTCATATCATAAAAATATTAATAAAATTGTAAATTACACGAGTCTATACAAAGTATGTTTAGTCCAAAATGACTGTGTAAAATGAACAGTAAAAAAAAAATATATATATATTTCTAACATAATATTAATCAATAGTTAATCAATAGTTCATAAACATATTATATGCATATGCAAATACATGAATAAATATACAATTAATCAATAATTTTAAAAAGTAAAAACATATGAACAACATAATTTATAAGGGTGAATCATCAATATTCCCCTCTTAAAATTAGGAATAACTAAACATAATAAGACAAATTTGTGTGATCGGGTCTAATGAAAGTCAACTGGAAAAATGTCTGGTATTTTTAATTCAGTCCAATGGTAATGGAACGGAATAATATATTATTGGTAACCAATATAATCAATTACACTAAAAATTAGTGAATATAAAACTCTAGAATGGCAATATTTGCATTAATCTGACTACATGTGTTCTGTATGTAAAAAGACATTTTTCCATTACAAATTGCTTAACCAAATAAATGAGTGCATAAATAGACACCAAGAAGAGAAATACTTCAATCTATTTAAAATGTACATGGATATTTGCCACCACTAATAAAATAATTATAATTAATCAACTTCAATACTATTCATTAATGACTAGTATATATTATTCTCATTAGATCAATGGCAAATTACAAATAATCATAAAATGGGTGTGGGATTATATGACTGTGTAACCAACCACACCAAATAAGTTAATTAGAGAATTCAGAATATTGGGACCATATGAGAGAATAGATCTGTCCCGGTAGGCCATTACTATATTAGTTGTAGTCCAAAAAAATAAATTGAAATACATACAACTTTACTGGTTATAATATAAACTATGCAATTTTGATAAAATAATAGATCCTAGTTAATATTTAAATTTAACTAGTTTACCTATTACATTTTATAGTAGACACTTTAGAATATAATGCAATTTTGTGTAAAAGGGCAAAGTAGGCAGCAGAATGGGAAATAGACGTGAATATGTTTGGCTTTGTTACTCTACATGTACAAGTAGAGTTGTTCTAGTATATCATTGTCAACTTTGGAGATGAGCATACATTGGAACTGTTGCTCTCCAACTTGGTTTTGTAATGCTAACAGCTAAAGAACAAAACAGAAACAACAATAATAATAATAACAAACAATAATTCAAATATTAATAGAGAATAAGACAACATATGAGTTAAGAATAAGTAGGTTATAGTTTGAATTTATCAATCATAAAACAAGTTTTAATGTTTTTCATAAGTTTTTAGGTTAGGACACTTAGGACACTAACTTCTTTGGAACAGTATCAGGTTTGGGCTAACAGATAGATTAAGTTTTTCAATAACTAGGTAGTAGGTATTAGGTATACACTTATAACACTAACTTACTCGAAGCACTGTCTATCAGGTTTGTGATAAAAGGCCCTTTCTTAAGACATACGCCTAACCACTAATAAGAAAAAAAAAGTGTACTCACCTGAGATTGTAAGTATTTATGGAATGGGATGCAATGTACAGGGTCTTTAAGTGACAAACACCTTTGCCTTTCATTATGTTCTGTTTCATATTGATATTCACACTCAGAATTTGCTCGTGAGCTTACATTTGAACAATCATCAGTCATTAACATGGAACTGTTAATAAATAATTAAAAATGAAATAGAACAATAAATCATATTATGCATAATACACATATTATTTCATACAATCAACTAATGTTGTTTTTTAAAATTAAATTAAGGTTCTCTTGTTACTAAGACTTACAAACATTATTATTAGTTATTAATTATAATTAGGGAAGCCGATTTCTATTTTAAATAAATTGAGTAGATAATGATTAAAATAATCAAATAATTAGTTAACTTTATAATTTTCCAAATATTTATAAATATAAAAAAGTTCTGGAAAGAAGTTAAACAGTCGGATAATTTTGTTTTTGTAGTGTAACAAAAATATACAAGAATGGTATCTTCAATTTATTGACCGAATTTAACAAAATTATAAAATTCAATCTATAATAAATTAAGTATTTTGGTTTATGATTTTTTATCAAGCATAGAAATTAAATTCAGAGAAAATATAGTTTATAATTTAATATCACGTTTAATGTTGTTAAGTTATTCTTATTTATTATATTATTATTGATCTACTTACTCCGCATAAATTCCATCATCAGTCTTTCTCATTATATCGTTTAATGTTTCAACACATACAGTTATAATTTCTTTAAATAACTGTAAAATTGGTCTATATATAAACATAAAAAAAAAAGGTATATACATAATAATTTATTATTATTATTACTAGTTATTTTTAAATTTATATATGATGTGATGCTTTGTATAATCAAATAACTTACTTCTTTTGACAAGTTAAAAGTGACGCTAAAGCAAGACCTAATAATTTTCTTCTATCATTTTGTACAATTTGATTCATTCTTTCTAACCAAACTTCAATTATTCTACTAAGTACATTATCAAAATGTATCAAATTACCATTTTCAGACATACATAAATGTTCCACAACCTATTGAACATTGAAAAATTAAATAAATTGCAAAAATAGATTTAAAAAAAAATTTAGTGTATTACTCGAATAAAAATAGTTGTATCATTCAATATCACTCTAGAAATCAAAGATAAACGGCAACTGTTTACTGTTAATCCTATTTCACCTGAGCACAAAGACCTAAACATTAAAATATAAATATAAATATATATATATATATATATATATATATATATATATACATATATATTAATATAAAATAATTTTTACATTATTCGAAATGTATAGTATTACTTTAAGTTTTGTCCCAAAACGATCATCATTAACTCAATAGTCTGAGGTACATTTACTTTTATAATTGTTTCATATAATGATAATATACAAACAATTCCTTCATCTTTTAAATCATTCATTAAGGATGTAGTCAAATTGAATAATTGAGTACCGTATTCCTAGGGAAACAAAATCTTTAGAATTAATAAAGATATTTACAAACAAAATTAAAATGTTAGGTACAAATTTTTTCCCCTTATAAATTCAAGCTGGTCAATAGATAATTGTAGAGAAAGCAACAGTGTTATTTTTTTTAGATATAATTTATTCAAACATTTTTGGTTTGATAGAAAGTAGACAGGTTAGGAGATAATTTGATATACTAATTACATCACTAATATTTAAGTTTAGGCTGGAGGAATATAGAAGGATAAGTAATTAATTATATAAAAATGGATATGAAGTTTATTAAAAAGTAATTAAATTCACTTAAAATTCTCTGTGAAAATTATTGCATTATCACTGTGTAGAGGTTAAAATAATTTGCACACATTGTAAATTATCTAATTTGTTTTAAGTTTAATGCAGATTCAAGTAAAATGAGTTTGGAAAAATGAAAAAAAACTATACCCACACTATACCAACTTCAAATTTAGTTCATGAAAATTAAAGTTTGATGTCCAAAATGAAATATTAAAATAAATGTTTTGTATTTGTTAAAATGACCTAATGAAATAATAAACTATATACACTTAATTTAATAATATAATACCTATTATGTTTTAATTTCAGATTTTAGTGCTCTAGTATTAAATTTTGACAAAAATCATAAATATTATATGACCTTTCAAAACATGCGCTCGGAATCGTCTTTTGTCAAGCAATGGTTTATTGTTGCTTACAAATATAAATGAAATAACCTTATATAGCCTAACTACCCAACTTCTCACCTACAACAGTGGCCGCTCCCATCCCCGGTATCAGCTCGTTTTTAAACATGAATTAACATTTTTTTTTCTTCAAATCATAAGATTTTTTATTAAAAAATTAACACTTACTGAAATAACTCTTTCTGGAGCAATTAGAACATATGCTTCAAGTATCATAAAACCAGTTTTCAGATTTTCAGTTGAATAATCTGTCATGTAAAAATTTAATTAATATTAACAAAATCATTAAGACAAAACCAACCCTCACAAATAGGTTTACCAAGTAAAGGAAGAAGATAATTAATTAAACTTAGCATATCATCATTGTATGTTGCACAAGACTCAATATAAGACAAAAGAAGTTCAAGACCGTCTTCTTGTAGATAAATATATGCTTTTTCCTTGACATCTACACTGTATCGTATGATAGGAACTAAAAACGGTGTGAGCTCTACACTTTTTGTTCGAATAGCCTAATATGACAAAATAAAACAAAATTGAAATATATATAAAATCTGTTTTTAAATAATATAAAGTTGATCAATTTATAATATTAATATATTAGTAAATATTGTATTACGTACTCGAACAATTTGTGTCAATGTGGAAATAATGGCACAACGTAACATATGATGGTCATCAGAGTCTGTCCATAATTTTGGCAAATACTGAAGTAACGAGTCAAAATATGGCTCAACCATTGGACCTAATCGTTCTACCATAAACGACATAACGTGCAGTACATTTAACTATGTATATACACATAACACATATTAAATTTAATATTAGTATTTTAAATAGCATTAAGATATCAGTCAAACCTTTGTATCACATTCTCGTACACTGACTAAAAGTTTATATAATGATAATGCCATAGGTTCCAAGTATTCAATGAAATGCTCGGAACTAAAATCAAAGTCATCGATTGCACAACGCAAAGTGGACGTAGCAGCTAATCGTACAGCCATATCTTGTTCAGGATTTAAAAGTCCAATTAGTATGTTGTAAAGTTCTGGTCTATATTCTGGATTAAGTCTAACTGTAAGCCATTGACCTATCAACCAAGCCACACGTCTCTTTAATACACGTGAATGACCCCGGGTTTCCATTAGTTCTTGACGTAAGGTTGTATTGAACCAGTCATCAAAATTTATCTAACATAAACAATAAAAAGAAACATTTAATAGTCGAATAAAAAATACTTTAGTCATTAGACCTTTATAGATTTTAATGTTTTATTATTTTTCTTTTATAAATAGATAAAAATTCTCATTATCCTTAAAATGATTAATAGAGAGTAAATTAATCATCTTATATAAATAAATGATTAATTAATCAATTTTATAATTACAATATCAAACATTTCAAACGCAGTAAGTCCAAACGCATTATAAATGGCATCTTTTTTCAATACTGCTTCTAAGTTTGTAGGATCAACAAACTCCCTGTTTGACTCTATAGTCGCTGCAAGTCTAGGTGTCAACAATTCCCTGAATTCGTGGAATAATGACATGAATAATGATTCTGTACAAGCCTAAAATATGTAATTTTATTTTATTTATTAGATTCATTTAATCAAAGATTAAATGTTCTAAAACACCACTATTACTTTTAAATTATACTTCCAATACTCTCCTACTTCGTCAGTAGCTATAAAAATGAATAAGAAATTTAATTTTAATATAAATTATAAAATTTACTTAATAATAATGATAAATAACTTACCAAACATTTCAGGATCACTATCCCATATTTCTAATTCTGCTGGTGTTAATAAAAAATACTTATAAATTAACTGTTGACACATGATCATTAATCTATCAGATTTGAAAACAGCAGCTTTATGTTGGGCTGCTATGGAAGATACTCTTTTTGCATCATCTAAATAATATTTATATATAGTTATTTAATATTTATTATATAATAATTAATTATTATATAACATAATAGTGGGTTGATATTAAAAATTAAAAGTACAAAAATATATTAGGTAAACTGCAGTTATATTATAAGTGTCCTAAATTGTCAATATTATTGAAATTGGTGATGTCGGAAAAACAAAAATAAAAGCAATATCAAAGAAAAAATGTATGATTTTTTAAACCAGAATTTGATTAAAATTTATTCACATCACCGTTGGCGATAAAAGTAAAGTGGATATAAAATAATTTAAATTTATTCTGTGACATTTAGTAGAAATTAAGTATGACAAGAAAAGCAGCAATTAAGTATATTAAGTATAACTAATATTTACTGATAAATTTGAAATCAAACTGATTTTTGGGTATCTACCCAATATTTCTTTTTACAAGAATTAAGTAATTAACATTATTATCATGAAAAGCTCACCATCCATTTGACAAACAGGACCATTTGTACGAGGTAACTTATATTGTGGACAGATTAATATTAATTTGGTAAGGTTGAAAAGCTGAATTAAAAATCTTTCAAAAACAATATTATTTCCATCAGGAGTGAATCCGTAAGAATAGGCTAACTCAACAGTTGGCTGAATAAAATCCAGGTATTCAGCTGGATGGTCTTCTATAATTGCCATTAACATTTTAAACATACGACAAACAAATTTTTCTACTAAATCAGGATAGTAAACACCTAGGAATAAAAATATATTAACAATTTTAGTTTAATCATGATAAAAATGTAATTTTTACTTACGACAAGCGACAATTGGTCTGACTTTGTTAAAAATAGCTAATATAAATCGTTTTACATCGTCTGGATAAGGTGATTTAAAACCATATAATACAAAATTAGATAAAATTTTTTGAGTATAAAATGCATCTTCTAAAAGTTTAGCTACCGAAGGCGATACATTGCCATGTTCCATCTGTATAATAACATGTGTTTTTCAATTTATGTCAATTTCAGTCTTGTTACATTCATATTTACCTCTTTGATAAAAGTATCTGTTCTTTGTTCCCAATGACTATGAAAATTCGGGAAGAGTTGGCTGGAAGCATCTTGGAATAATCGAATACTATCATATAAGCGTTTACCTGCTAATGATTTGACTACATGGTGCATGGACAATAATGCACGATTTTGTGTGTCGTATTTAATACGTTCCATAAGTTCTGGCATCAAATCTTCCCAGTCATATGGCCAATCCAATCTGAAAATTAAATTATTTTAATGTACAGCATGCCATTTGATAGGATAATTATATATAGATCAGGGGTGGCCAAACGGACGATTGCGATTGACTGGTAGATCGCAGATGATTTAAATGTCGATCTCTCCTTTGTTAGAATCTATTTTTATATAATTAGTAAATAAATCTTAATTTTGATAATTTTTTGTTAATATATTGCCTATCATTATTTTGTTATAAATGTATCAAGTAATACAATTCAATAGCGTTTATACTGGCAATTCTATTTATAATAACATCCATTATATTAGTCTTAATAATAGTGTGATGAAAAACATTTTTTAACTATATACCAAGTTTATAATCTAAGTTTATTATTTATACGTGCATGTTTGTAATTTATATCTATTAAGTAATTTATAATTATACATTTTTGTTAGGAAGTCGATCCTCAAAAAAAAAAATATATTCTAAGTAGATCTCTACCAAAAATAGTTTGGCCGCTCATGCTATAAATCATGCACCACATCAAAGATAAATTAAAAATGCAATTATTTGTCTGCAAGTGAATCGCAATTATTACGCAGATATAAGAATCTCAAGAAACTATAGAAAATCAAATGGGGAATTGGAAAATATTAATCACATTGTGAAAATTAACCAACAAATATCTATTTTGGTAATGAATTTATTTTTATTTGTGTCACATTCTCAACAATTCATAGGGGAAAAGTGCCAATAGACAACAAATACCATAAACTAATATTTGTATGAGTACTTCATTCTCTTTAAGCGGTGAGTATCCACAAATAGCGAATATCCACTATGCAAATACATCAGTCATAAAAGTTATAGTAAAAATATATATTGCTTTTTTAATATTAAAAAAAAAATTATACAAATGACTTAATTAAAGCATGGATTTTAAATAATTGTAAATCTACAAGACTGAAAATTAAAACAAAAATTATTTGATAATAGGCAAAATAAAACTTATTTATAATTATTATTATACAATTTGAAAATTTTAATGACCTTGCAACTCTGCCAATAATTACGCTAACTTGAGTAGCAAGTCGTGGAACTGGTTCTGACAAATTTGTTAGTAACATTTTTCTTAAGGTAACTTTTTCTTGTTCGGATATGCCACTTAAAATAAAAAAAAAGGTAAATATTTAAATTTTCAAATATCTGATAACTAGAAAAATAATTTAATACATACTGTTGAAGGTTTTTCCTCCAATATTTTTCAACACCTTGTTTGAAATATAAAATTGACATCCAACGAACATTTAGATCCAATGATTGATTGGAAAATATTCTCTAAAAATGATTAATTATCATTTATTTACATACAAAATTTAATATTACCCAAAATAAAGTTAAGTTCTTACAAATAACACTGAATAAAATCCTGGTTCAACTTCCCATTCTTTGAGTTTTTGCTCGGCCGGTTTTAACATATCAGGATGTTGACTGCTTGCTTGCAAGAGCGTTTCGTAAACCATTTGTTCAATTTCCATTTTGATTATTAAAATGTTTTGCTGTTATTCTATTGCAGAAAAATTAAATAATATTAGATATTAATACAAATCAATCAATGTACATTATAATATGAAATAATAGGTAGGTAAGTAAGTATTATGTTAACACGCCTACTTGACTTAAATATTATTTAAATGATAAAATATAAAAGCAACCAATACAAAACGAAAGTATAAAAAGGATAAAGTTGTAAAATAAACAATATTAAAAAAGTGAAAAAATTATCTATTTATTTCGAGAAATTACAATTTTTTCCATTTTTGAAGTAGATAGGAATTTAAAATGAAAAACAAGTAAGCGATATAATGTTGAGTCACTCATTACACTAGACTCTGTATCAATGTAATCATATGATGACTATCAACATATTATTATTACTCACATAATCGTATAATAATTAGATTTGTTAATTGATCAGATGTTAATGTTTGAACCATGAACCTAAGATACTCTTAAATCGTAGGTTTTTTAATAATCAGTGGTCTTGTACAAAACTGTAAAATACCTAATAATTGATTGAACAAACTGTGAAAAAACCAGCAGAGATAAGAAACAGATGTTAAGGGAATATGTACCCGAAGTGCTTAGGTAGTTCTAATCGAAAAACTTTTGGTCTGACAAAAGATACATGAGTCAAGATAAAGTATGGACTGAACATTGACTGTAAAGTCAAACGACAACTATTTCGATATACCTACTCAATTTATAATATACTAAGCCATTAAACATAGATAAAAGAAATGCTTCCGTACAATTTTCGGTTTTCTAAAAAATGTCCAACAACAAATTAGCGAGTTCAAATAGTACCGGGTACAAACAAATGCATAATACACTTACTCTTCATTTAGGACATGTGGTTTAATGGAGAGAGGTCATGAAAAAACCACTGGATTTGTCAACGACGTCTCTGGGTCCTTTGGAAGCGTTCACTGGGAAGACCACGTAAAGAACATCATATATTCAAGTACACGAGCAGAGTAAGCACCGAGACTTCGATAATACAACTATAAAATTGTAAATGTTGCGGGAACCGAAACGTTACTACTTATTACTATTATCGTGGTGATTACAGCGGCGGCAGCCCCGAATGATTGAATGATCGATATCTATATTTTATGGTTCATTTACTATCTATGGCACGGTCCTAGAAGATAAGGGCGATAAGGTCGGGAATCCTCCGTGTTACTTTTTTTCTACTACTCCCAGAGATTGCGTTAATCTGAACTTTATTGGGGTTATGTTCAAATATTTAAACTACGTATTAATCGGTTTAAATACTTTTGGCGGGAATGCGAGAGAGTTAAGAGCGCAAATCATAAAGTCCATGGTACATTGGTACCACTATTGGTATACTATTTATTCTCTCGTTGCATTATTCATCAGTTCACTTATTTTCTGAGTAGATACTTAGAGTAGTACTAATGAATAAGTGTTAGTAAATTAATAAATATTCAATTAGGTAATTGTTCATTTATTTATTATTTTCGGTTATTGGTGTTCATTGTTGGAAGTAATTTGTAAATCTTGATCGTTTTACCATAACCTCGAAAAGCTAAAAGTTACTTGAGTTAACCGAGCCCTGAACAATAAGTGATAAGTAATAGAACTATGGCATCGTTGTGCCAAAAAAAAAATTGCATTTTATTATTTTATTATCAGCCATTAGGTTAGTATTTACCTGAATCGTTACAGTTTGAAATCTGTATCATAAACGCAATTAGCGGATTCGATCTATCCTGGATACATTTTGGCCTCGGTAATATATTCTGGTCATCGCTTAGATAATAAATTCATCATTATTTGATGATGATAAGGGTAACAAATCCATAATTTAAATTAAAAAAATTCAATAATAGATAAATAAATTTACTAAATCCTATCAGAAATTTCGGCAATAATAGTATTTTTAAAATGATAATATCGATTTGAAAACCGTTTTGAAAGGAGTTATAGATGCGCATTAGGTTCTATAATTTATAGTCACTCGCAGGTCTGTAAATAGTTATAGTTTACAGATTTGTAAAGAATACAGAACGTTCGAGCAACCCCCAATCTGGTTTACTGTGGATTTGTAAGTGCGCTTTAATGGTTTTGTAAGCCGTTACAGAACGTTTGGGCGACCCGGCCTCCAGATAATTATCGATTCCTCGGCCACAATATTACTCGGTAGCCGACATTGACGGCGTGATCGATACGTAGCCGTTGCAGCGCCTCGAGTCCATGGTAACGAGTAGTTACTCGAAAATTGTTTTCGTTTTTTCCTTACGAAAGTCCGTACGCACAACTTAATTTACTCGCGTGTACGTAGGTACGCGGCACGAGGTTGAAGATCCGAAATCCGTATTGGCGACGAACCCAATAATAATTATTCATGTCCGGCGACGGTCGTACCTGCGCTACGTCGGCGTACGGCCGGCTTCAGCACAAGAACAGTAGCCGACGACAGGTGTTTGAGATGCCGGGCGGCGAAACGGCGTACGTACGGCAATCGACCACGCACGAAACGTACCGGCCGAGGACGCCACCGGCCGCCGAAAAACCGCTCGAAGAAAGAGGTATTACTTACTAGAGCAGTGCAGGCAGTCAGGCACGTAGTTAAGGGGAGGCCTGGGTGTGCCTGGCCCATTCTAAAAAGTGTCTGGCCTTAGGCTGGCCCACCCAAAATATTCAGCGGGACCCATTATCATATGCATTTAATTTATACCATCAAATATCATACTACTCGACTGACATATAGTGATATAAATTTACTAATGATAAGTAATTACTACCTAGTACCTGGTACTAGCTCATCATAACGGCAAATATTACCCGGTAAATGGCGTACCTAATCGTTAAAAAATAAATCTATTAGATAAAAAGGTATTATTAAGTTATAATGTGCTCATAACTACATTTTTTTCTTACATAAAAATGTCGAGGAAGAAGATCTCTCTGATATTGGCTCAACTAGTGAAAATTTTCTGGCTACGTGAATGGATTCACTGCAATGGTGCGTGATCTGGGGGTCGTGGGTCACGGAATTTTAACAGTGGGTTGCCAATAACTTTGCACCAATGAAAGTTATATATTATATACATATTATTTTATATAACGTAATATTTCTTGCACCATTGGTGGTCGTATCAATCGTAATATGTCATATTTTCTTAATTTTGCGATAGCAAGTTCTATTGAATCACGCAGTATGTGGGTTATTTTTTAAATTCAATCAGAAATTATTACTTCCTTTTGCTTCAACTTATTTATGCGAAACAGCATTGTCTGCAACACCAACGATAGTAAAAATACAAATACCACTCCAGATTGAATGTCGAAGCATATTTAAGAGTGACAGTCTTAAACATCAAACCCCATATAAATTTAATCGTGTCTGCAATTTAATCACAAGGGTCTCATTATATCATGTAATTTTATAATTTTAAATTATTAAAATGTTGGTTATAATTATAACAATTTCGGTAATTTTTTTTTATGTTTTGAAATTAAAAATTTAGATAAATTAAATAAAACAAATACTAAAATTGCCTAAAATGAACGATTTAATGTATACGAGACTATAATATGATTGTATACATTAAGTACCTCAATATATATTGTGCACTTATATAATGTTGGTATAGGAAGGGGCGTCACCTCATCAAAATAAATTAATTTGGAGGCCTGCACGGGTCAACAATTCCTGGCCCTGACCGCCTCGATTTTTTCATGCGTATATAAATGTTTGACCCAACCCGGGATTTTTTCTCATCATTTTCGAATAATTATACCTCGCCGGTCATATCTCGGCCGTAGAGCTGGTGGTATAAGTTTAAACATTTAAAATGTAAGAAATTGACAGCATGCTCTTATAAAAAAAAGCTCAGCCCGGCACGCAATAGATATATATAAAATTTAAAACTGAATACGCCAATCCGGCCGCACATGTATTTATACAAATAAAGCTTGTTCTGTATTTAAATTTGAAAAGCCCGGCCGAGCCTTTGCAGGTCTTTATTACCTATTATAGAAGTAACTAGAAATTTATTTATGAGTGGGTTAAATTGTTTACGGTAATGGTGAGCCGCGAGAGTTTTCCCCACACATTACTAGAATACTTAAAAATCGATACATAAATGATTAGTTAATGGTCAATTATACTTAAATTACATCTTCGAACTATATCTAATATTTTGTCTTATTACTTTTCTTTGGATATTAAAATATTACTCCCTTTATCCCTTCTTTGACCTATGGTTTTTTGAAAATACTGTAAAAATAATGAAAAATTCCAAGCAAAAATTTTGTTTACATAATATCCTCCAACATAAATAATGATACATTTTCTATTTTCCCAAAAGAAAAATAATTTGGTTGTTAAATTATATATATATATCAAAAAAAAAAAAAAATAAATAAAAATCATGCTTATAAAACGAATTTAAAAGTTAATTATAATGGAAAATTGAAAAATGAAAATAATACATCATACATCATATGGTGCTTTTCATGTATTGATAAAACACTAACTTAAATCACAAATGTATACACACGAGGTGCTCCATGCCCCTATCAATATATATTAGGATGATGTATAACGTACTCTATATGCTTAAATGTGTTGAAGTGTTTAGCCATGATGATCAATAATTTAGTATTAGTTTCGGTGTACTTACTAAGAAACATAAAGTTATTAGTTTTTAAATTTTTAAAGAGAAAAAAAGAAAAGAGTTGGAAGAACATTTGTGGAAGACAATGACTGAAAAAGTACTACATGACTTGGCGGCCAAAGCAAAGAACTATTACGATCAACACAATCAATTTGAAACAACGTACAGCAGAACTTTTCAAATTAAAGGGTTCGAACCAAAACAAATTGGAGAACAATTAACCGAAGAAGTAGGTACCCATACGAATACACAATAATAGTCATTACTTATTATCATTTAAACATTTTTTACATTTCCTTTTGTTATATGTTATATGTATTTTCAAATATTTAAGAATTAACTGGATACCTAGATACTTAATAGTTTATATTTAAAACTATTATTACCATCAGTATTTATTATAATAGATATACCTAACACCATTTCTACCATTTATTTATTTTATCAAAAATCCATTCAAAATTCTCTTAAATTTATATTGTAAATCAACTTATCAATTATATTTCAATTAAACAATAATAAGTAATATATAATCGCATTTCTTCTAAAACTGTAACGTTATAATATAATCCATAAATGAGAGGATTGAAGCCATATTGGTTTAAGTCACATTAATTTTAAAGTTTTAAGCCATTTTGAAAGTTAACAAAATAACCGGTTCGTTTCCATACAAATATTATGCTACCAGCTACCATCTATAGTTGTACTGATTGTTAGTTATGCTTATGACTTAATTCACAATTAGACTTTCAAGAAATGCACTTAAGTGAATTTTAACGAAAACTTGACTCACACCACTACTCCCTGCTCTAATCCCCTCAAATAACTCGGGTATTATTTTTATGTATTTAATTCTAAAAGTTACCACAATGATAAAATATATGTAGATAAAAGTATAATAGATATTGTTTGTTAGCTATAACCGATATTAATATTATTTACTTGTGCCACACCGGTTCGGTGAAATAGTGATGATATTGTTTTTATTTATATTTACAGCAGTGTGCCAAGTACCCTTTATACAACATCAACGGAATATCCACTACCGTTAATCGTTACGAGTACAACAAATTCAAACAACCCGTGCACAAGCCTTTGGCGTGTTTGTTTAAAAAGGACAGCAGATTTACTAGTCGCATGGGCGACCCAAGCGATCATCACGCTCCCGTCGCTCCGGGACATTTTGCTTTTGTTTGAAAAAAAATAAACCAAATAGTCTGATAAGTCAAAATTATATAAGTCATTATTATCATTAGGTTATAATTATTATTTTTGTTGGCTCATAAAAAATTTAAATATTTACATTATATATACTATTATACTTTATATCTGTGGCAAGAAGTGGATATGAAGCTGTTCATTTTATCATGAACCAGTTAATATCTCGAAATCGGAAAATATTATATTTTTTCGATATTTGTTTCTAGAACATTTAGGAAACTTCTTTGTGTCAATCAGTAATGTCGAATTCATTTTTAAGCCAGAAATTAATCAGTTTTATTAATTCGACATTTGATTCTCTAAATAGATAGTTTCTATTACATTTTGAGGTCATACTACACTGCATTATAACAATTATTGTACTTTGAATATAATTTGTTGTTAATATATCATAACACATGATCTACTATTTGACTACTTATTTAATTATTTGAAATTGTATTTATAATATGATTTGAATATAATTTATTATTAAAATATTTAAATGTGGTCCACTATTTGACTAGGAACTTATTTAATTGTATTTATAATTATTACTTATTGTACCTATAATAAAATGGCCAAATACAAAAATGGATAATATTTTCTCATTTATTATCTACATTTATGTTTCATATTTTATCTGGCCTTTTTTTGTTTTTGGCCATTTTAGACTCCGAGAGTAGCGGGGGAGCTATTGGTTTTACTAAGATGTTTATTTTTTTTTTATTTTTTCTTTCTTCTAGTCTGTGGACACATTTTTTCTTAGTAAACTTGTTCCAATTTTTACGTATAGCAACTTTTCCGAAACCTCAAGTTGTCTAGATAGTACTTTAAATAGGTCATTTTTTGATTTTCGACGCCATTTTTTAAATAAAAGCACTTAAGTGGGAAAAAACGGTAGAAAAACGTACAATTTCACGATTTCATTATTTTATAAAAACACGGACGACATATTCTATCAGGGAAACTGATTTAATTGAAAAATCACAAGATGCCTTTTTATTTACTTTCTTACAATGTCATCGCTGAAACTTTTAAGCTTTTAAAGAATTTTAATTTGGGGAGTTCTTTTGTTCTAATTCGGTTATAAATATAGGTTAGGTTAGGTTAGAGACTTGAAACTTGGTAATAATACGTAATATTGGACTTACTTAGACGTGGTAAAATTTCCAAAATCATCTGAAAATTTTTTTTTTTAATAAGCTTTTTGAAATCAAATTTAAACGAAAATTGCAAAAAATTATGTATTATCTAATTTCGCTAGGAATCGTCGTTCGTCAAGCAATAGCTTATCGTTGCTTACAGATATAAAAGAAATAACCTTATGTATCCTACCTTCCCAACTTCTCACCTATAACAGTGGTCACTCCCATCCCCAGTATCAGCTCATTTTTTTTCAGTCATTTTAATTTCATACAAGCAATTTTCCTGCGGCTATATTTTCCTCTGGTCACACTTTTCTTCGGTCATTTTAATACCTGTTCATTTTTTCCGAGGCCATTTTTGATTTGGCTGTTATTAATGTCCATCCAATTAGAAACACCCTTGTGTGCACCTGTGAAAGTAATTTAGGTGTAGCTTAGATAGTATACAATTTGAGAGAAATTATGACATGGTTTGGGTATCATGGTGAGCAAGGAATTTGAAGCAGTAAGAATTGTATTAAACACAAACGTAGGAGAAAAGAGGTAAATAGGAACACCGAAAAAGAGGTAGTTGAATGTGAGGTAGGAGATAAAGTAGAATTTTATAATGAGGGTCGCCGGTCCTAAATAGTTGAAACGAAAGTGAAGGAGAAGAAGTAAATTCAGTATATATTTTTCCGAATTTAAATTTTAAATCATTTCTTGTTGTATTTTATTATTTTAATATAATATATAGGTACTCGTATATTTTAACATCAATTGACGATTTACTGATGACTGGAGATCAAAAGCTTTCTAAATGTAGATAATTGTAAAATATACCAGATATATTATTTTTCAAATTCCTAACAGAGGCGTATTTATAGTTCTGGAGGTTAAATAATATAATCGTACTCGAACAAGTCGACGTCACCGTTTCTTCGCAAAACCATTTTGCCGCCATAATTTTGTCGCAGGCCATTTCGCCGTTAAAAAGATATACAATTTAATGAATTATTTAAAAATAAAAAAAACCATTTTGGTTCTAAAATCAAATATTTAATTGCCAAAATACAAATTTCTAACAAACTACTCTTAAACAAACATTATTATTTGCGTATTTTAAGAGCTGGAAGATTAAGTATAATATTACGTTTATTATAATTTGAATAAAATTAATAATATAATATTAATTATGATAATACAAATGTTATACAATAATAAATTAGTAAAAAATGAAAAATTCTGAAAAGTTTAAAAACAACATATTATTAAGCATTTTTTCTGCATAGCGATGATAAACAAAAAAAAAGTTAAAAGAATATAAATAAAAAAATGTATTAAACAATAATACTTAGTCTTATCTCAATCTAGATTTATCTACTCATAAAATATAATCAAGTTTATTAATTATTTTTATGTAATTCACATGTATTAGAATTTACTGTTTAGATAACATTTATAAACTTGTAAATAGCTAAGTCGTATGGTATTATAATATAATATTATGAATGTTATAACAAATAAAATAGACTTAATCATACCACAACAAAAAATTGTTTATAATGTATGCAAATGCAAAAATTAATTTTAAATTATGATAGAAAATCGTGCAAACTGCGTAGGTACATTTTGGAATAATAATAGTTTGTTTCGTTTAAAATTTGACTATAGATAAAAATATAAAATGCAAAAAATAAACTATAACCCTTAAACTACGCAGTAAGTAAATAATAACCATAATAATTAAAAATAATGCGCAACGAGCTCTGTTTGCAAACATTTCATTGCAAAACAATTCAAACGAATATAAATTAATTATAATGTATTTTATTATTAAAATATTATTCAATACAATCAACCAAACATATAAAAGATTAATGTATATGATATTATACTAACATTTTTATAGACTAAAATATATAAATCACGTTTTTCTTAAGTCATCGAGATGACTTTATCCTTAACGGAACATAGCACCATTTAGAAAATTACTCGTAAAAAAATTACACGAATCCTAAAAAATAATCATACCAAGCATTCGAAGTATAGTAAACGAGCTATGAATGTGGATGATAAGTATAATATGTAGCTATAATTGAAATTATGTATTTTTATAAAACACAACATGTAGACAAATACTAGTTTAACATCGACGGGATTAAAGATATTTTAATTTTCTAGTATTTTATCCTTTTACATGTAAATTGTAATGTGATATTTATAGGTATTAGATTTGCACAAATTATAAAATATTATTATCTAGCTACTTATTTTCATCGATAATGCATTTTTTAATAATACTAAAATAATAATCGTTTTACTTTAAAATAATGACTCGCAATTCCGTTTAATAAAATTGTACCGTGGACGAGAGGATGGCAAAATTGGACGTAATACAGTCAGCATATTTGGACAGTATTTTATAAAGGTACTGAACGAAGTTTAATGCGTTAGTGATTATTGTAATTTTAACTAATTTGTTTTTAATACCCAGAATTAAACAGTTAGCCCGACGAGCGATATTCGAGCTAATGATGTCTATCGCTGATAATTATAAATTATTATTATTATTGTTGTTGACCGATTAGTTAGAATTTCCTATAATTTAATTATCCAACTGCACCGCCGAAAATTGGAATGCAAATCGTAACTAATAATAATTTTGTCCATGTTTTATTAACTGAAAACTCTTTAATACGAGTATGTTGTCAAACGTCGTTTTTCCATATAGAGTATTCAGAAGAATACTAGTAATACCATATTTCCTATGATGTACAATAATACAAAATTACATAATACAATTTTCAATACCTACACTTTTGAACAGTAAATTAACTTTAATTGCAATAATTTTGAATTTATTTATTTTTTGAATCAATTAATTTAATGGAAGAAAAATATAGATGAAGAGAAACACAAAACTATTATCAACTTAGCCTTACCTCAATAATTCGGAATAAAATATGTACGATGAGTAAAAATCTAATCAAAGTATTTCGTTATAAACGTTAAAGGAAAATCTATACTACGATCAAATTGTTGTTATATCAAATGTTGATACACAATACGAATTCATACGATGTCATGTATTCAAACAATTTTGAAAGAACTAAAAACTAAATAAACATTGGATAGGTACAAAGATTATAATAATTAATAAGCAATTATTTTGATATCCGATTTTAAACGGTCTTTCCAATTACCCTGTCAAACAAAGTCAGTTCGTAAAAATGTATTATTAAAAATGTCAATCACATAATGTTTTCGACATGCTTAAGTTCAAATTCCCAAAGCAAAATGATTTAAATTAATAATAGGATAAAAAATATGAGTCAATGTCTACTAAATACCCTATTTCGTTACTTTTTCTTAAACATATTTCTAATGTTTAATGTATAATACTATGTAATACGTTATATGTAAGTAACTAATAATTAATTTTCATTATAATGAAAGAAAGAAATAACGAGTTTATTTAACACATTAAGTATCTTAAAGTGAACATTTTTGTATAGAAGCTTCGGTCCTAAATAAAAACAAAACCGTGTTTTATATTTGAAAATTATGCATAACAATAATGTGTTACACATTTTCCATAAAAATAGAAAATAGAAGTTAGAACTACCCAGGATGGATTGTCCAGTCTTGTAATTTAGTGTGCATTGTTTATTCGCACACTGCCTAACATTATTATCAGAACGGAAGCGAATAATTATACTTGTACTTGTTTACACTAAAAATAGTAGTATTTAATACAATAATATTAAGCAGACATTAATTTTACATTAAGAAGAAAAATGGACAGACAGTTTTATCAGTTATCACACTTTTAATACTTTTCTATTAATATGATGGACGAAGACTATA